ATACACAGAGCCGTCGAATTTTGAATGACGTAATCCTACTGCAAATATGGGCATGGGGAAGCCCAAATTTGAAATTTGGAATTTGTTTTATTATCGATTTCATATTTTGTAAAACTTTAACGAATTTTTGATTAACAAACTCAAGGATTTCAAAGGAGAGCAATGGCAACGTTGTACGCGGAGGGGGGGGGGAACTTTTTATCTTCCAGCGCGAGAGACTTCTGTATCGAAAATTCTAAAGATAGGCTTCAATTTAAAATTATTTTGCGATATTGCTCTTGGACTGAATTTTATGGTTTAAGTGCGAAGAACATGTTATTTAATAAACAAAGGTAACAGACAAAATGTTAAAAAAATGCCACTTTGGACGTAATTTAAAATCTGAAACCTTTCAGATTTTTTTTTATTAATGAATATTTTTTCCTTTTGTTTCTCTAGTAGGGCTGCGTTCAAAAATGTTCTGTCACATTTAATTAAAAAATTTCACAGAATAAACTGTATTCTTTAAAACGCAGCCAGCAAGAATAAAATTTCACGACGAACAATGAGCTTCAATCAAAAAATGCGATTCCGTGTTCATAGGTGCTTTTTTATTCTTTGACAGTTAGCTAGCACGACTTATGTTAAACCTTAATGTTAATTCTTAACGACTTATGTTAATTCTTAATTAAGATTTTGCGAACCCTGGTTTTGATACGTTTGTTAGTGAATCAGACGATGTAATCGTGTGTTAGCGAATCGTTTGTTAGTGAATCAGACAATGTAATCCAGAGCAATCAGTTGTGCCTGAGCGGCAAGAAATGTCATCAGAAAAAAAGTAAGGAGGACAATATCATTCAGTTCACCCGCCAGGAAGTGTTCCACGCCTTTTACATTGCTGAACGTATTTCTGTACCATTCTAATTTACCGCTAGTAGTATTACGGAAGACTATGAGTACAGTTGACCATGAAGTTATCAAGCATTTTCATTGCGCATTCCTGTATATTGCGCTGTTGCCATTGGCGACAGCGCCTTTTCACCAGAAAATAATCAGTGAGCAGAAGTTCTCAAATTACAGTAGAATAATTAATGCAGTACTGCAGTGTTTTCGTATGACGGCCTACATAATATACTGTTGTGGTTAGGTATGTACCTAAATACTGTAAATGGTTAATGTGTAGAACAAAAAAATGTTCCAAAAATAAAATTTGGAGCCCAGATTAACATGAATGTTTTTAACACAAATTCTTGATTTTTCTGTCGCTTGGACGAATCATTTAAAAGAATACTAAGATGGCTACTGTCTTTCTGGTTTCTCTCACTTAACATCGCTGATCTCTGCTTCAGAGTCCCTGGGAAGTTTTCCATTAAAAATATTTCAATGTCATTTATTTCTGTCTACATTTTAAAATGTTACTAAAGCGATATATGGCATCGTCGCTGCAAATATTATGCTATTGCATTGTCAATGTAATAGTGTTCTGTTCGACTTTTGTATTTTACCACAATGGATTTGAGGAAAATTTAGGATTTGCCAAGCAACTAACAAGCGTCAATTATTCTTTCAAGATAATCTTATCCATAAAAAAGGACAGTGATGAAATAAGCATCCGATGAAACTCAAATATTTGCGGAAGGCTAAATCGTTCTGTAATATTCGGCCATGCAGAGAAGAGAAAGGCATCCGAAAGGAAGCGGGGTTTGAGAACTCAGGAATTACGTTTCTTACTCACGAATTAGTCTGCAATTTATTTAATTATGGTACGAAAAGCTCACTTCCATTGATTTTTGTGAACAACAGCTTCAATTAAATCCCAACACGAAAGAGAATTAGAACAATTATCTCTGAGAGGTTTATTGCAATTATTCGATGTCTCGTCCTAAAACTAAGATCGATTATACTGACAAAATCGTCGAACATAAAGGATAATAAGCTCACATAAAGGATCTATAAGATAGGTCGCTTATTACCTCCGCAATGGGTTTTCGGAGGATTGTGTCCAAAAACTAGAAAATGCTTTGTAATCGCTATTTCAGATAGCTGTGCTAAGACTTAAATGGAAGCGAGAGAGAATAATGTAGCAGCTGGAGCAATGATATTCTTGGATTGCTGGAGAGGTTACAAATCATCCGAGTTGAAAGCAGCAGGATATGGTCAATTCACAGTGATTCGTTCGTTTAATTTTATTCAACCAGTCACGGGTTGTCATACCCAATCCATCGAACGTTTGTAGAGCAAAGCTAATGCGTTTTGAGGCGGATCACATGCCGAAGGGACACTGGTCATCAAAATTTGACTTCTGCTGTAGAACTCATGCGGCATCGCCTTCATCCGAATACCGAAATGTTCATCCGAATATCACGCACTATTTGTAAATTTATGTCTTTCGTTCATTTCAGCTTATGTTTCTTCATTAATTAAGAATTTTAAAAATTATTTCTAATGATAAACGTTATTTATAATAATAATAATCATAAATTGCTATCTATAAACTATTCTTATAACTAGACATTGCTTACAATTAAAAAGCCCGTCAAAATGCGTGCCAGGTGCATAACGGAAAAGTACCCTAGCATTTTCCCCCAACATTTTTAGCAATTTTCTATCAGTAGAAAGTTTTATGTTCGATATTTACAAAAGGAATTTCAGTTTTTGATCCCAGTGACTTTCAAAGAATGAAACTTTATCAAGACAAACCAACAGGCCGTACTTCGAAAACAAAACCTTCATTCCTTAAAAAAAATTAAGACTGGCACAGGTATTGCATACATACCTTTTCAACGTATTTCTGCGTATCCGATGACGTTTTCCCTACGGACTATCGTGCCTTTGATCTTTTGAAGAGAACTCTTTTTAGGCGCAACCAGCACTTCTGTTGGACTCTGGAAGGTCGTGGAAGAGAAATGGAAATCAATATTTTTAGAAATTTTACGAAAAACCTCATTATCATAGAAATCACGATACAGACTTAGAATCCAGAAAAATGGCTATCAGATCGAATATTAAAAAAAAATGCTCTTTATAATTTCAATATTAATTAAACGACTCCAAAACCCTTCTGAAAATGGGTAGTAACCTTCTGTATTTATGGCGTACTTGTAGAATGTTTACCTCCGAACGTGTGGTAAACAACTGAATGTTTTGATAAAGAAAAGTTCAACTGGCATAGGTTTTTAACTGGGAGCCCGTTTTCGCTGAACTTTCGGTTCACCGAGTCGAAAAGGGGTGTCATTAGTGCGTCAAACCGGTTAAGTGGGAGAAACCGGGTTGGGCTTCTCCTCCTAATTCCTTCTTGTGTGCAGTATACAGAATACTTTTGTTTGTCAAAAGACAAAAAACTTAACACGAAGATAGCATTGTTTGGTCAGAACCTGATGTGTTTCTAAGAAACAGATACCAAGGTGGTTAGAATAGACCTATTATAATGGGCGTATCCTTAGGGTGGCACATTTTCATGGGCGGCATTTTGAGTATGAAACTTTACGTTATAGGGATTAGTCATTTGGGTCATTGATGCAAGTAAAGAATAATGAAATTCTAATTTGCCATAAGAAATGAATTGAGAATAAAATAGTTTTTTACTCTAGATAAAATAGTTAAAGAAACAACCATGAGATTTAAACAGCTGCATACTCTTTTTGTGGCTTTTATATTGTAAAATATGATCTCCAGAAGAAAGTTCTAAATATTACAACACTACTTCAAACTTTTGTCATAATGACTGTAAGTAAATGCTGATAGTTGTGAGAAGTGTTTTCTAAATAAAAATTATTTAAGAGGTATTTAAGTAATTTATGAGTAAGAGTATATTTATGTAATTTATGAACTCTTTCTATATTGTATACATAAAAGCAACTGGAGCAATCAAACAGACCTATCCAATGTCATCCATGTTTTTGTGAACAAAGAAATAAGCAAAATGATAAATTAAGTTTAAAATGATGTAGTTATAGTTTTCCTTCAAAAATTAACGGATAGTTTTAATTTATTTCTCTACATGTCATTTTATATTTTTTTCTATATCAACAGGGTGGCAAATTCTGGGACAGACTCAGGCGGTAAATTCAGGGATCGCTCCAGGGTGTTAAAGTTTTAGCTACCACTGCCTTGCATCAGATGTTTTCAAGCTTCATCAGAAGAGAAAAAAACTGACAAATTGGTCATTCTAGCTAGGAAAGAAAACTGAGGATAGGACCAAGTTTGGTATTTTTGCCCCTCCCCACCCCCCGGTACAAGGTTTATGCTTCGTAAGTTCTGCAGTCTGTTGTCAGCCTAATTTTTAAGATTTTGCCGCCTTTAAACCCTTGAAACAGGTGAGGCCGCGAATTTCACATAGGATATGTCATCAGCTCTGACTGAGGACCTTGCTGCTACTGGACATCCAGCATCAAGACCGGTACCAATGCTGCCTTAATTTATAAAATTTAGGATAAGCATCGAACGGAAAAATATGTAGATCGCTTTCATTACGTGCTTTAAAGGTTAGCAGCCGTAAAAGTATTCTGTTTTTCGCTTTTGAAATAATATTCGATAAGATAGGCAAAATTTGATTGTAAAATAGACTTTGCATTAAACATTTACAACAGCTAAGAGAACTAATGAAAGGCTTCTGAGCATTTTCAAATATCTAAACTGTGGGGTTCAGTGAGAGACATTTTTAGGTTTAAATTACGGAGTATACTCCGTGATTTAAATAAAGACATGCGAACTGACAAAGAGGAATGCGTTTCGTTTTGCTACTGTTTAAGCGTCTTTTCTCCTGCAAACAATCCAAAAGAACTACTACGGTATTCAGAATCATACTTTGTTCATGCGTTAATTTTTATTAATATTTAAATCATTAACTACATATTTAACTTCAAATTTCTATTCCAATTATATTTCTAATTATTTACAGATTAGAAAAGATGATTTGAATATTTTTTCTAGGTGTTTAATAGAAAGGTGAAAAAAATATGAACTTCTTATAATTATTTTTCAGTTAATTGTTGCGCAGCGTGGCAGCAATACCAGTCATGTTGGTAGTGTATCCGTCCAAATGTAGTAGTTTTACCAAAATAAACGGTGAATTTTTCGTTTGACATGCTATCCTGTTTCCCATTCAGTATCTAAAACTTGTAATAATGTTACAGAATGTGGAAGTAAATAAATTACCATTAGTCAAATTTTCAGAAAGGTACTATTTGCAGTTTAGAAATGACATTTCATCTTGTATGATTTCCGACAAAATATAAACACAAGTTCGGTCATGGTCATATCGTCTAACATAGTTGACGAACTTTATGTGCTTGGCATTGCATGGTTCTTTAGAAAAGTGTCGTGGTTAGCCAGAAGTTTGACCTAAGTTTTTGAATTATGTGGAAGAATAAAAAAAATAATTCTCTACATAAAATTTTGTCATTCACCCAATAAGAGTTTGTTTAAAGTGAGTTTGTTACTAATGTATCTATAATTGCAAGAAAAACTTTCTTTATCGTTTATTAAATATAGAACTGAGCATTTTCAGATGAGGTCTCGCTGAGTTTGCGTCATGTTTCTGATTGGATATAATATTTTGAAAAGCTCTAATTTAAGGAAAGGAATTATTTTCATTTATTGAAAGTTACTGCCATTTGAATTTTTGCCTAATGTTGGTGAGTTTATAGTTAAGATTAAGGCCTTTGATATAAACTGTTAAAAAATTATTTTGGAACTTTTAGAAAATAACTCAAATTATTGTAAAGGTAATAATGGTGATGCTGTATTTTCGGATAATAATGTCCTTGATTGTCTAAATATACATTAAGGAAAACAAATAAAGGTATTTATTTGCGTGTAGTTATTCAAGATAGATGTATAAATTCATAGATATTATAGTGAATGCTTCAATTAAGTTGAGACAACATGTTCATTCTTCTATTAAGTTAGAGGCAGAGTTTTCATACAGTATATCTTGCTATACTATTGTTTACACTAATCAAAATTTTATCATAGCAATAATTATTCTTTTACATTCATAAGGGCTCTTAACATGTCACTTAATAAATTGCTACTTTTAATACTATAGGTAAAGTTTTGAATACTTTATTATTAGTATTGGAATGGTTTTATATAATTCATGATAAAAATAATATTTAATAAAGTTCTCAAAACAAATGGTTAAAATATTTGCTGTTTAAAATGATGGCTAATATTCCATAAGCGGGGGAAGTTGGCGCCAAAGTATTTTGGTCTTCAAAATTTGGCGAATTTTTTAGGCTGCAATGAAAGCACTAAGATGTGATTTTTAAACATAAACAGAATAGTAACTTAAGTTTTGCAGTAGTGAAACGCTGTTATTTTATGTAAATAGAATAGTAAAATGAGATGATAAAATACTAGATGAGTAAAACAAAGTCCAACAGCTTTGCAAGTAAAAACATAGTCTAATATATGTAATTCATCATAAAATAGTAGAATGAACAATTCTTGTAAATAATTATTGAGTAAATAAATATATAGGTAAAATCCTAGTATACAGTGCAGCCTTGGCGCGACTTTGAAAATTATCGCTAACACCAAAAATGATCCAAAGAAAGTCTGTATATATATACTATACACACATAGTATATATACTGTATACATAGTATATACTATGTTTAACTGTATATTTTCTTTGAATGACCCGTTAACTACTCATCATATATGTTTCGTATTTACTGCTCATCATAAAGTCGCCATAAGTAGCCAAATCCCATGTGCACTGGATACTAGGATTAAACAAATATATACAATTATCAGATAAGAGCACTGTGAAGGGAGTTTTAAATGTGAACAGAATAGCAAATTATGCGTATTTAGTATCATAGACTTGCTAAAATATTCAAGTTACTATCGTCGGGGAATTCAACACATTAAACAACTTTTGTTCAAAACTTTAAATATTTCACATCTTTCGACTGCCACATGCAAGAATCAAATTTAAAAAAAAAATTAACTAATTAAAATTAAATGAAAACATTCATAAATTATAAACTTCACGCCATCTGAAATCGAACATTCTCCCACCAACAATAGCTTAACCTTCTGCAAATATTTATATAAATATAATAAACATATATGTATGTAATATAAAAAGTAAAATTTTCAAAAACAAACACAGTATTTCAAAATTAAATTTTTAAAAAAGTCTGGCTACACTAAATTCGCACTCTTACAATTACCGAACTATAAAGCTCTAGGTTTGCGGAAAGAAAACATACAGCCGGAAACCACAACTAGATCAAAATTGCGCCAAATAAAAAACTCTGCCAAGTTTGGCGCACACCACGATTATGGAATATTAACCAAAATGACCTTTATAATGCCTTTTTTGGCAATGTATAGGTAATTTATTTATTTATTTATTTTTGTAAATGTTCTAGTATGCAAAGACAATCTCTGCATATAAAAAATCCACCCAGCACTATCAGTTCATTCTTGGACTGTGTAGGTTTATTTTAGATTTCTTAAAATAACGTTACTACATTCATTGTACTCCATGGGTGGAAAAAAAAATGACATTTATCACAGAAAAAGTCAATTTTAGTCTGAAATAATTTTTATTTATTTTTATTGCTCCTTATGCATTCCTTGCAAATATTTTGTCAGCTGTTGTATCAGTAAGTAGCCCACATCCTTGTCAATAAACTGGGAAAGTACAGAATCACCCAGTTCTTCGTGCGTTTCTCAAAATCGGCAACTTGAAAATAACAAGTCAAAAAATTGCACAAACTCTGTATCCATGTGCATATCAACCTATTTTCACTTAAAAAAATATCGAAGAATTGCACAAATTTGGCATTGCACTCTGTCTTGACTTTGTCCATGTACTACACAGTGATATGCACCATATAAGTGGGCGATTCTGCATCAATTTGAAAATAACAAGAATTGCACAAATTGGGTATCCATGTACACATCGACCTATTTTGACTTTTAAAAACATCAGAGAATTGCACAAACTTGGCATTGCGTACTCCCTTGACTTTGTCCATTTACACATCGATATGTGCCATATAAGTGGCCGATTTTGCACCTTACCCTTAGTAGTACAAGTATTTATGTGGTTGGAATATCTAGTGTATCAAAGTAGGGTACCAAGATTGGCAGAATTGTCGCCTACCAAAATCATTTGCGCCAAGGGTGTGGGCTCTTTTTAATTTATATTTTAGCATCATAATTGACATTTTCGAGTTTCATGTTTTGTTTAATGTTCTGTATTCTTTCCTTAGATTTGAAATTTTAATGGAATATATGAATTTACTTACAACTCAGTATTTAAATACTTAAGAAAATAAGATGCCTTTTAAAATCAAGCTCAAGAAAAGCCGGCAGTACAATGTTTCATCTAAAAATTTGTTTGTCTTGTCTGTGGAATTGCTAGACAATACCACTGTAGAATGTACATTGTCCTCTCAAAGTCTTGGACAAGAATGCCTTAATAATGTTTGTCAAAGACTTGGCCTGCAGCAAGTGAGTATAATTATTATTTATTGGGTTTTGTATATTAACACTTTTATGCTAATAGAATTATGAAGATTATGAAATGAATATTGATAATAAATTTTATGTATATGTTGTTTTTAAGTACTTGATTTTAAAAAGATTCTAAGTGAAAATTTTAGAAAAGTAATGATAGATTCTTTGAACCTGTGGTCTCAAACTGAAATTGCCTACGGGCTGCAACTGACTGAAAACAACTGACTGGCTAGAATTTTTTGACAATTTTTTTTATTTTTTTTTAAATATAACAAAAAATATTTTAATTAGATTATAAATATTGCATACCATGCATTTTTCAAAACATACATAAAAAGTAATAATATCGAAAATGAAAAAAAAAAAAATTCAAATTTATATATATTTTATATCTGATATATAAAATTTTGTACCTGCAAGATATTTTTATATGTTACTCTTTGTATTTCAAATATATTGAAAGCTAAATATTAAATTTTAAAAATTAAAAAGTGTTTTTTAAAGGTTACAGAGAGCTTCTGTAGGATACTTTATTGATAAGTTGCATCATGGAACAGTCCCTGTATCCCCATATGGTAACACAGTAATAATGTGTTTTATTTGTTGTGGTGTATAAATTTCCCTCACTTTTAAATAAAAATAAATGAACTGAAGGTGATGAACAAACAGCCTTTTAATAACCTTAAGAAGAACACCAAGAACAATATCAAAATGACCTAGGAAAAGTTAAACCAACTGCATGTGTAATCAAAATGTGCTATAACCCTGGTTAGAAAGTGTATGGAGTAAGTATTATAATTATCACAACAAAATAGTAGGTAAGCCGATTTATTTAATATAGAATTCATTGCAATTAGACAAGGATATTCCTCCGGAGGACCAGCAGTTAGAAATCAATTTAAATTTTAACTTAACGATAATGATCAGTTCATTAAGTAAACACTTAATATTAATTCACAGCAAAATAACAAAATTATTGGTGGTTGCCCAAGAAATAGGGGTCAGCACTGTTTGCAAATGTCCCCATCTCTAAAGGAAAATTTAAGTAACGTTACCTCCTGGTTTGTAGACATCTTCTGGTACCGTTCCTCCCGAAACAGGATGCTCAGATCAGCTGCATTCGACGGGTATCTCGCTGACCATCTAAGCCGGCAATCTGTAGCACGGCCATTGCACTGGAGGGAGACATCAGAATATTTTGGGCTCCGTCCATCCTCTCTAGGCTTATTCCGTTGGGTGACACGTCAGCGAACTTCACTGGACTTCGCGCAGAGAGTTTTCTATAGGTGACAGATGATTTGAGGCAATAGGCTCCATCCTGGCAATCTGAAGAGGTCGAAATAAAGTTCTCAGTGAAGTTTGTTAACTCTGAAACCGGAGAGAGCGTAACCAAATTCGCAGGAACATTTCTTCTTGTCTTCTGCACTCCTCAGTCTCAGAAATTTTTTGTTGGGTAAATCTGCGGGGAAAATCTGCCTCTAACAGGTGCACAAGAGTTTTTAAACCGGAAAACTTCCACATTCCCAAAAACTCCCCAAAAGAGATGAGAAAAATCTGCAACCATGCCAAGAACAAAACCATATAAAAATTTTTAAATTTTTCCAAGAATAATTCAACCTTTTAAATTTTCTCGCCAAAAAACATGCCAAGGCAACTAACCCTTTTCACAGGTTAGTTGCCTTGGCATGGCAACCCCTCCGGAAATGGGTGGGTGTAAACATTCATCACCTGTCAAAACCCAGCTCTGGAAGCGTAAAAACTGTGCTTCTAAGTGAACATTTCGAAGTCAGGAAATCTGCGCTATTTCTGCTAAAATTATGAAATTAAATTTAATTATGAATAACTTCTCAAGCAATTAAGCTAAGCGAAAACCTATAATTCCACCAGAAAAGCACAAATTTTCTGTATAAAACCATACACCATACAAATTTCCATTAGTTAAATCCAAAATTTCTGTTTTTAAATTGAGGTAATACTCAAAAAATATATGAAATTAAAATCTCTGTAACACAGAAACCAACCCAACAGACCTATTTTGAGTTATCCAAATTTACCACAGTTATACAAATTGACTACAAATTTTCTGTACAAAAGCATATAAATTTCCATTAGTTAAATTCAAAATTTCTATTTTTAAATTGAGATAATGCTCAATAACTACATGAAATTAAAATCTCTTTAACACAGAATCCAACCCAAGAGACCTATTTTTAGTTATCCAAATTTACCACAGTTATACAAATTGACTAACATAATTAACCTTACTTAAAAAAAATAATAAAATTCAGCTAATACAAAAGCTGATTAAAACCCTAATTAATATTACTAAAAAATTATATTTCTTCAACACCTTACAACCAGAAATTATTGATTCATAAGACATTAGCAGAAAGAGGGGTAGACGTTAACCAAAATCTAAATTAAAAACTTTTAAATAATTTAAAATTAAAAAAATTACATAACCTTGAGGATCAAAACAAACTTTACAAAACCAAATAAAACTTTTAAGTCCATAAACTCAAATTAAAAATTAAATAGCTTCAACTTTAAAAACTTTAAAAGCAACCAAACCTAAATTTAAAGTTTACAAAAGTTACAGTTTAAACTTATAACCAACTTTTAACAACTAAAGCAAAAATTTAATAACTTCAATTACTGATTAAAACTGAATTAAGTAAGCAAATAACTTAAAGCTTGAAAATAGTAACAATTAATAAATAATGCATTTTTCTACAGCTAGCTGATGACTCACTTTTAAATATTAAAGTATGCTGAGGTCGGGCTTAGTAAAAAAGACCAGTGTTAAAATTTTGATGCAGTTTACATACATACAAAAGTCCAGCTAGATTCTTTTCTATCCAATTATTGGCTTTATTAGGTTCTGCATTGTTTCTCTCCATGTAATTTTCTGAAAACAATATTGTTTCTTTCTTTCCATCTTGTGAGCCATCCAACGGTAAAGACAAACTCCTTTCCCAACATTTTGTCGAATTCTGTTTCCTTTTGATATAGGATTTCTCGTGACATTCTTGTTTCTGGCATTTCGAAACCACTCCAGGAGGGTAGTTTCTACATTGGTAGTCTTTCTACTTTGTTTCCACTTACATGAGACATTTGCTACATTTTAGTAAAGCATCTTATTGCTTCTACAATTTTTCCTTGTCTTTTAAGCTAAAGGCCTTGCATTTGGACATTTTGAGGCACATCTAAATAACGAAAACACGATGTGAATGGGTGAACTAACTGAACTGTGTGAGCAAATAAAAAAGACATTTTTTTATACAGATTCTCCCTCATGTCTTTTTATTTCCTTGTACAAAGTAAAGGAAGTACTGTAATTGTGAAAATTTTTAGGTGTCATATTTCAATAAAAATATCCATTTTGACCACTATTGAATGCAATTTAATGATATTTTTGCATGACATATGTACATAGCGATAGAATAAAGGACTCTTTTTACCAAAACTGATTGCAAAAAGGATTTAAAATGCATTCAGAAGAGAATTTTTCGTGATGTATGTACGTAAGTACATATCTTGCATAACTCAAAAACGTGTAGCCTCAGAACGTCGAAATTTTGTATATATAGGACTGCTATAACATGTAGTTATGCACCTGCCCTTTTGGTTGCTATGAGCTGCACCAAAAGTATATATATATGTACATAGCGATAGAATAAAGGACTCTTTTTACCAAAACTGATTGCAAAAAGGATTTAAAATGCATTCAGAAGAGAATTTTTCGTGATGTATGTACGTAAGTACATATCTTGCATAACTCAAAAACGTGTAGCCTCAGAACGTCGAAATTTTGTATATATAGGACTGCTATAACATGTAGTTATGCACCTGCCCTTTTGGTTGCTATGAGCTGCACCAAAAGTATATATATATATATATATATATATACCTACTCTTTTACTCAGCTCTGTGAGCTCAGTTTTTTTTATTCTTATATGTTTGTAAGTTGTGCACTTTTTGCTTTAAAAATGATTAAATTATGTTGTTCTTATCTTCTGGTTAAAGTTTTATGCCTTTAGTTAGTAAAAAAAGTTAGTTAACCTGCATGCAATAGTTGTAGAATTATCAATAATTTAAAAGTTGTTGAAGTGCAGCTAAGCCTAATGTTTTTACATAGCAGCCAGATTTGTTTACATTTGAAACAGCAGAATAGTGAATTAAGTCAATTTCTGCACCTGCACCTTCAGAGTCTTTTTACTGAGTGGGACCAAAGGGAACTTTCAGTTTTGTGCACCAAAAAATCTGCACTCTTGCTCACTCAGGAATTGCTTGTTTTGCATAGAAACTCTAATTTTAATTCTAAAGATTTTTTTAATTGTTTTAACTGTATTTGGTGTTTCATATTTTTCAATTTTTAATTAAAGATATTTTGAGGTTTTATGTATTTTTACCTTGTTGCAAAGTGAGAACTGAATTAATTGAATGAGAAATATATCTCTAATGAAATTCGAGGAAATAAGTTTGAATGAATTGCATTCAAACAATACGTATAATTTAATATTCCGTACAAGAAAGTCATGGTTTACACCTCAGATTTTTTTTTTTTTTTAAATTTTAATTTTAATTTCCCCCCCCCTCTAACTGATCTAAGCCAGTTCTGAAAAACCTCTTTTGGGCCACTTCCATCCATGATTGGCTCAGATATGAAGGTTCTAGCATTTATACCTCTACATGTAAAAGTGAATTGACCTTGAAATACGAACCTGGGGGTAACAATTCCAGATAAAAAAAATTCTAGCATTTGCACCTCCATGGGCAAAAATGAATCAATTTTGAACAAAATCACGAAACCTGAAACACGAACTTTGGGTTTTGACTTTAAACTTTTGATTTTTGTAAATGGTAGCATTGATTTTATTAAGAAGTTATTTTGTAATGAAATTGTATTCATTTAAATTCATTCCTTAGTTTTTGATTTTAATAAGTGGTTGATTTTATAAAGCAGTGATTTTATTAAGTATTATCCACTGTAAATCTTTAGCAGCAAACTCTCTTGTGTTTTACATTTATTTATTAATTTAGTCATCTATGTTTTGTTGTTCATATATAAATACCATCTCATATAATTTTTATTTTTATTCTATATTGTTGCATTTTTCTTTCAGTCTCAATACTTTGGATTAAGATTTTTATCAAAAAAAGGAACATATTGGTGGGTTGATTTACAGAGACCTTTGAAAAAGCAGCTAGATAAATATGCCTTAGAAAGTTGTAATCTATATCTTGGAGTAATGTTTTTCGTAGCTGATGTAAATATTTTGCATGATGAAGTAACTAGGTAAGTAGGGTTTTGAATTATAATTAAAGATTCATTGTTTAAAATTTTGGGATAGATAATTTAATGTCACCATATAATTATAATCATATGGTCTCTCTGCAATTATTAAGAGCAGTTTTTAATATTTTTGCCTAAATTATGACTTTGATGAAAAATGTTAAAATAGCCTTTTAATAATCTTAATGCTTAACATTAATTATTTAAACAGGTTTTTTTGGGGTGGTGTAACATTAAATAAGTGCATTAGTTGAATGTATTTGAAATTAGAAAATTCTAGAAATGTTTAAAAGAATTACTTTTTAATGATTAAAATGAATTTTAATTTATTAATTATTAAGATCTGCATTAATTAGCTAAATATTTTGCAGGCTAATAAAACATAAAATATTTTATCTAGAAAGCCCCCCCCCAAAAAAAAATCTGCTGTAAAGTAGGATATTTGAAATTTAAATAAATTAGTATTACTTTTTGTGGACCGAAGGATAAAGCCACTGAACACTGGTAATTTGACCTAGGTTCTTTTCAAGGCGAGCGAGCTGGCTGCATGGGTGTTTTCATGGTTTTCCCCATGTTGGATATGAATCAGTTTTCCATAGAATGTCCTCTATGAAAGTATCTTTCTCCGTAGGCCCTCATATGCTTTGCTGTAATCAAATAAACCAGGGTTTCTTAAACTATGTGTCATGGAACCTGCAGTAGGGGGTCGCCGAAAATTTTAGCAGTTTTGATATGTCTTTAACTTATTATAATAATATTACAGTTACCAAATATTTTTATGCAATGTATCTGAAAATAGATAAAGATAAAACAATACAGACAAAAAAAGGGGGAAAATGTTTCGACGCATTCTTTTTATAATAGAAACATTCATTTTCCTTGCTTAGAACGTGATGCTGTCATTTCGTCTGTTATTTATTTAAAATTTTCACTTTGTTCTATGTCTTAAAATTAGAAATTAAAATTAATGATCTAAAACTGCAATAGTATATTACAGTACAAATGAAAAAATTGTCAGTTTCACTCATGCATATGTCGGATTTGCGCAATGCAAGAAAGCAGATTTCGGGCACTGCAGGCCTTGGCCCTTTAGGGCTGTTATGCCACTGAGTTTAATCATTTAATTATAAACGAACCATAAAAGTGAAATGTTCAACAGAACTTCTTTTCTTCTTGTCAAACCTTTATTTAAAATTTATCTCATGGGCAATTTTTTATCATTTTTGTGCATTATATACTGGGTATTCATAAAGATTACCTTAACATATGAACCCTTAGCTGCCTATCCAACGAACCAATCGAAATGAAATTTCAGATATTGTAATTTTAAGGTATGCACTAAAAATTGTGATGATAAGAGCTCTCACTTTTATGGTAAAAACGAAAAAAATTTGATGGAAACACCCAGTTTTTCCTGCATAAATTGATTAGCACATTGAAAAGCCATAAATGCTAATGTAAAGATGCATGTGTGGTGAAAATTGCTAGCATAAAACATTTGCAAAGAATGTTCTAAAGAACCAATGATAACACAAAAGAGGGAAAAATCTTTTATTGGAATGACAAGTTTTCAGCATTTGCAACATTTCAAGATAGTCATATTCTGTAACCTTGCACTTTCGATCCTCTCTTTTTGATGGATTTCTGGTTCTAGGGGTTATTTGAAATCTAAGGTATACACATCAAATCCATGAGATTTATAAAAATATGCAATGCTTTATTGTTTGTGAAGGTGGGCCCATTGAGAACTTGTAATTCCAATAAAAGTTTTTTTTTCCCTCTTCTGTTTTGTTATCATTGGTCTCTACAATGCTCTTCATTGCAAACATTTTACACCAACAGTTTTCATCATGTGTGTATGTTTCCAATGCCATTTATGGTCTTTCAGTGTGCTGATTAGTTTGCACAGGCAAAAAGTTGGTGTTGCCATTCAAAAATTTCAAAAATTTTTTTCACTGTCACCATGACCGCAAGAGCTTTATTGCTTTTTCATACCTTTGGATAATTAAATCTGAAATTTTCATTTTGATCGGTTGAGCATAGGCAGCTAGATGCTCATGTATAGGGAAAGTTTTTTTATGATCATTTTGTATGTATATTTAATATTTTATGAAAGGGTAATCTTTCCATCTCCTCTGAAACTATAAACATTTTCATATTTCTTTTCAGGTATCATTATTTTTTGCAGCTAAAATCTGATATTCTGGAAGGGAAATTGCATTGCAATGAAGATCAAACTATTTTGTTTGCTAGTTACAGTTTGCAAGGTAAGTCTTAGCTGTTTACTGTTGTTTGGCAGGGAAGGGTAGAATCTGCTTTGGTCTGCTATTCTGAGCATTTTTTACTTGATATTTGTATTTTAAAGGTGAATTTTTATGCATTTAAAAATGTAAACTCTTTATTCCTTTAAATCTCTTTCTGAAACATTTATGCTGCAGGATTTAAAGTATATTTATATATATATGTTACCTTTATATGTAAGAACTTAATAAAAAAGGATTCTTCTCTGAATTTTATTGATACATCTAACATGTATAAGATCTGATTCTGAGAAATGACTAAAGATAGGTTATTAGAGTGTTTTGATATTGTTAAATATAAGTTTATGACTATGTATCCTTAGATTGCCAATAGATGGCGGTAGTGTTTGTAAAAAGAAACTGTGATGTCATAATTATGTATATGTATCAGTTCGTCTTTGGTGCTCGTCAATAAACGTTGTGTGGAAAAACGCTTTTCTGTTTATTACTTTACATTTGATCCAGTCTGATTTATTAGAGACTTACATATATTTTGCTTAGATATTAAAGATTTGGTTTAAGTGTTACATCATGTTTTTTCACTTTGATATGATTTGTATTGCATATGCAGTATATTTTTTTTAAATCATCATTCATGGAATTTAGCTGTTTTAGCAGAATCGTATTTATAGTGGTGAAAGTTACTCCATGATACTTAGAAGTTTATCAAAATTAAAATTTGTTTCCTATCATTGTATTCAAATTTTATTCTTAGTATAAAATTGGAACTTTTATCTTAAATTGTAAAATAAGCATAACAGAAAATATTGTACATTCAGTTTTCTGTTTTTATAGTCTATTTCTTTAAAATAGGCACTTCAAAGCCAGTGGCAACCACCCACTTCCCCCCCCCATTTGCCATTGCAACTCATGTTGTCATCAACATGCATCATTTTTTTCCTCCACATCATTTGAGGCTGCAGTTCAAGTCAGCCTCCATTTGTAGACTCTGTCAGATTTCTTCATGTGTCACTGAAAGCTGATATCAATAACCTATATATCAGACAACCTATGTTTCAAATTTAATTACTTAAAATTCTAGAACTAGAATTAATTTTTAATTTGATCTTTTTCAAAGCAAAATCATTGTTTAAAGTTATATTGGAATAACTAATGATGTTAGTCATCCCAATATTTATTAAATGCATATTTAATATGTAAATACATACTAAGCAAGAGCAGTATATGTAAATTTATGATTCTATAAATGTTATTATTTGTTTAGCTATCTTGTATTCAGAAGTTAAAACCATATGGTAGCACTCTAATTCATAACATTCACTGACAGTTTCCTTGTATGGAGCTGCCAAATCCAATGTGCTGTCTTATATATTAACTTTATGAATGCTGTTCTGTAATGAAAAGAATAAATTTTGGATTAACATTTTCCTTGGATGAACAGCTGATGATGATGCCTTGCAGGTAGTTTGAATTGCTTGAATAATTCAGCATCCTACTACATAATTTTGGTTTAATCAGAATTGAAACATGTTAAACAGAAATAAAGTGGGGGGGGATTAAGTGACTTGACCTTTTTTTCCGCAGCTGTTGCTCCCATGGTTACAAGTCAAAATGAGCAGTGGAAAATTACCTTGATGCTTGTAATTTTAAATTATAAATCATATTAATGCTTAATTAAGTTTTAATTTCTGTATATAGTCAAATATGAATAAGTAGTAGTAGTAGTATGTAACTGTTATCAATTTCTGTGCAGTTATCATTTCTTTAATGTGCATATTTATTGTATATTTCTATTGTAGCTGAATTTGGTGATCATGATCCTGAGCGCCATACTACAGAATACTTGACAAATTTTGGACTTTTGCCAAAGGTGCCTAAAAATTTAATTATTTTTAATGATATAGCAGAAGGAGTAATTTTATTGACATGTAGATAGTGATAACTGAATTTTTTTTATTAATTTTTATATTTATTTTTATATTTATTATCATATACATGATGAGATCAGTTTTTGAAAAATATTTATATTTTAGTGTTTTACTTTTTGACTATCCAACCCACCCCACCCCACACATTCATTGAAAAGTCATGAAACCTTTGATTAATTAAGATATAACTTTTGTTTGGGTATTCTTACATCTGTTTTGACAATTTATGCTGTGCTACCTATTTTTTTACTTTTTTATTTTCCATAGAAGAATCTTTGGTACTTATGCACTATGACAACAATCTAGATAACTTGCCAAAACTGGCGACCTTTGTATGTTATACAGGTTAACCCTAACATAGGTTGTAGAGGGATTCGAACCCGGGCCGTTTGGCATGGCAGTCAATGACGCTAACTACTATACCAGTTGAGCGGCTATATTTAAAACTATAATGTACTGTTAGTGCAAAACAAATAAAAAAACTTAAACACATTAAAAATAGATGGTATTTTAAAAATACAGAGCAACCATAAAGAAAGGTTCATAATATTTACACAAGATTTGCTATGCTTGTATACGACTGACTGCCAAGTGAGACCCAGTGAGATTGTATATTTCTAAAATATGCCCAAATTTCGAGAGAAAACAGATAATATATAAAATTTTAACATTAATTTCTTCAGTATGTTCAGTGTTAATTCTTCCGCAAAATGGAGGAACAAGCAACAACATAGGACAAGCCGCCATAATTTGGATACCTATTTAGCTGAATTTATTTGGCGGAAGAAACAGGAAATGCCTTTCGATGCTATTTTTTTGAAAGTTATTTCCTGCCACTTTTCTCACCATTAACCTCAACATTTTCTTTTAACCAGTTTTAAGTAAGTTAATTTAAATTTTTTAATTCGTATATAGTTTATACTTATATCGTTGTTTTTACGTGGTGGAACTTTTTTACTGAGGAACTACAGTGTCAAATGTACTTTTAAGCAATTGCTTTTGAACTTTCCTCTTCTTTGTAATTAGTTTATATATATATATATATACATTTATTTATAATATATATATATAAGGCCCGGTGGTGCAGTGGCTAGCTTGTCGTACAGCAGCACCACAGGTCCGGGGTTCGATTCCCAGGCTGAACAAGGTCGACTCAGCCTTTCATCCCTTGATTTCCTTCACTTGGGTCAATAAAATGAGTACCAAGTTCACTTGGGGACTAAACACTGGGGTACTGCGACCAAGCTGACCACTTGTTCAGGGCATATGCTTATGCACCCCGGGACCCACGGTCAAGAAAGCAGATTTTGGGCACTGGAGGCCTTGGCCCATTAGGGCTGTTTCGCCACTGAGTTTTATATATATAATATATATTCGGGATTTTTGGTTTTTAAGTTTTTGTTCCTTTCTAATTAGAGCTTTTATTTTTAAAAGAATTTATAAACATAAACTGAAAAACGTCAATGAAGTTTTTATCAGCAAATGTCACCAAGGTAGTCATCATAGTACATAAATACTGAACCTTTTCCTCCAAGTTTTTGCTAAAAAAGTCCAAGAATTGTTTAAACTTGAGATTGTGCATTAGCCATGGTCACGATTACCCAAGAACTGTTGCAACTTCAATATGTACTCTAAAAAAACATTGTAACACAGGGGCCAGCACCTGCGGCTCTTTTGATGTAAAGTTGCGTCTCTCAAGTTCCATATGAAAAAAATAATATTTACTGAAACAAAATAATATGTACTATAATATCGAAATGAAAAATTTAAGTGGTTTTTTAAAAACTGGGAAGTTTTGTAAATTGTAAACTTTGGCTCTTCCATTTCAATAGGTTGCCAATCCCTGTTATAACATAATGAAAATTAAAGAGGGTAAACTCCACAAATCCATTACAATAAAAACAAATATACTGAATTAAATAAAAAATACTAATCAGGAAAATGACGGTTGAATTTCAAGAATGCAAATCCATCTGTCGTCTAACATGCACGTGCTACACATATACTGGGGTTGACACGTAAATGCCTTTTTGCAACTTAGCACATTGCGTCATCAGTATTTTTTGCAGCTTTTTGACAGAAGTGCAAATAATCAGAAAGTACCTATAATGATTGTATGCAAAATATTTATAATTTATTTGCTGTTATACAGTAAGTGTAATTTAATGCTTTATTTTTATTTTTAACTTGTTGAAATATCTTGGTGAATATGTAAATGTTGAAATATCTTAGTAAATGATATTGATTAATTCTGTTTGAAGTTTGAAATAATCTGAACTGATGTAAAAAATGACAAAATAATATTGGAGTATAAATAAGTCTCTCCAATTTGACAAAAAATAGCACCACCAGCAAGTTATGGTTAAAATTTTCTGATGTAAAATGTCATATCATAAAGTTGGACATCTGTTAACAAAATAACCTTGAAATATTAGTGATTTTCTTTCACGTGAAAACGTCAAGTTTTTTAGCCAAATGAGCATCATTTGTGGGAACTTTTGATTTACTTTTTTAATTTGAAGAAATCTGCAGCTGAGGTGCATCAGTTGCTTGTAGAAGCACATGGTGAGTCTGCCTTAAGAGAAAGTTCTGGTGAGTGGTTTCAAAAGTTTAAGAATGGTGAATTTGTCAGTCAAAGCTCATGTATTTGTCAGTCAAATCCATTAGTAAATCAATTAATAAGCAACTGTAATTGGGACAAATCCATCTTAAAATTTTGTGGAGCTACCTTTCTGACTTCTTTGAGAAAGGGAAAACTACATAAATATTTTAAACATTTTCAGAACCTTGTGCTGAAAAGCTGGAGGGTTGTACTGTTAAGTTCAGAACTGCCTATAAAATAAAATTTTTTCTGTACATGATCTATAAAATTTTGTTATATAAAATTGTTTAGATATTTCCTTGTGAATAATCTGAAGGAAAAACACTGCAGCTCTTTGATATTTTTGTTAATTTAATTACAGCAAATGGCTCAAGGGAAGGAAAATCAAGAAGCTATTCTTGAGCGGGTCATTCTCAATCATCGCAGTTTGCAAGGGATGTCACAGCAGCTTGCCGAAGTGTATTATATAATGGAAGCCCAACGTCTAAATGGTTATGGTCTTGAATGCTTTGCTGCCAAAGTGAGAATTCTGTAGTGCAGTTAAATAGGTTACAAAGTCATTTGTGTGTGCTTTGCAGTGCTGTTAAAGTATCAGTTTTTTCTGCTTAAAAATATTAGGTTAAATTTATTTTCTTCATGTTTGTGTGATGTTCTTTCATTTGTATTTAATTTTTAAAACATTTTTGCATTATTTTCTATCATTATTACTAGTTGTTACTCACTTTAAATGCAGAAACATTGATTTTAAGCTTTGAAACTTTAATTAAATATTAATTTTTGGACTTTTCTTATAAACTGCATTTGAATTCAGAAATGTATTTTAAAACTGTATTTGAACTATGTCTTATTCTTATTAATTTTTAACTGGTTTTGGATTCTGTCCTGTTATTAAACTCTTAGGAAATATAACAATTTATTGTTTCCATAAAATATAAAATTTCATGGTAGTTGTGTATTATCGTGTTGACTGTGAAACTCGCCAAGCAGCACAGTTTACTGCAGTTATGCATAAACATGATATAACAATGCACTGATATTATCTGCACATTCTTTTGATGTAACCTTGACTGATTCTCGATGAGCCACCTTTTTGTTTTTATGAACAAGGATATAAATTAACTATTAATACTGTACACTTTTTCTCTGCCTTCTATGGTACACTAAGCAGTTGATTACTTTTAAAGTTATGACATTATTCCATAAAAAAAGTGTGTACTAATGATCATGATGTGGTAAGCTGATATTCATGGCTGATAAAACAATGGTAGATTTGAGCTGTTACCTTCGAGAAGTTTGTACTCAGAACGTTATATATGGAGCTTTCCTTAAAATCACAAAACAGCTTGAACGAACAAAACCATTTCTATGAAATTTGTTGAATGTGAATAGCTTATTAGATATAAGAAAGCGGCAGTCCATTCAGAATTCCACAGGAGCAGTTTGCTCAGATTTGGTAGGATCTCTACCAACTTTAATGTTCGGTAGTAGCCAGCTTTCACGGTCGATAAAGTAATATTGAGAGTACCATATTCATGTATTTATTCATCTAAAAATGGAATTTTAATTTAAAGCTTTGTTAATGTAAGCATAGAGTAAAATATTTAATTTTTTATCTTTATTAATAGAGCTGTAAAATTCTTAAATGTGCAAGTGATCTAAAACATTTTCGTATAACTTCTCACCCTGGACTACCTTAATCCCCACAGGCTTTGTGAATTTATACATTTTATAATAATATACAGTCAAAAAAGTGTAGATAGAGCAATACTTTTACATTATGTGCATGAGAAATGAAAACAAATTCTCTTAGCAGTTTGTTAGAACTTTGAAAAAAACACTCGTCTTAGAAACAGACAAAGTATTAGTAAAAGAACTAAACTCCTATTAATAAACTCCTGTAGGCTTAGAAAATATCAACAGTCCAGTGAATTTAAGCTATATAGTATATTTTAACATTCTACTATATTGTCAAATATCTTTTTACATGTTCATTTAATTTATTAGATACTGTTCTGTTACTGGGACCAGAGTCAGCGCCAAAAGGTTCCTTTAAGCTCACCAAGGAATTGTTTCATATAAAATCACTGTTTGTTGCTTCAAAAGAATAATTGGCATGTCATGTAGCAATTCCCGAAAGCAATGAGTAATGCGATGGGGGAAAGCACTAGTAGAAAATGATTCAGTCTTTTGGCCGACCTGCCCATGTCTGAATGGTCGTATGTTTGGGTCTACTTCGATGCGAAAGAGTTAAATGATATGCCTTTTATGACTGTGCATTAATCTTAGTTTGCTAACCAAAAATTTTTTTTGTGATTTCTTTGGGAAGTTGTTTAATTTATATTAAAATTTTCTAATTTTCAGAATATCAGTTTTGTTATTTTTTCCCTTGGAATTTTCTTCAACTTAATTGTATCGTAAATATTTTGGCAATTATTTTTACATTTCGAATTTTTCACCAAATGGTCAGCTCTAGGCAATATCTGAATCCAGTCTCGATAACAGAACAGTAATGTTTGCTATATGTATTTATTTATACGCAGAACAGTTATTCGTTTGTTTCTATGGCTTACTAATAACCTGATGGGCTAAAGGCATTGAAAGTTCATCTGGAATCCTATTGCTATTGTGTGAACAGTCAAGTTGCAGAGAATTTTCATCATTTTCTACATATGTAACATTTATATCAGTCATTTTCTTTTAAAGCTGTTGCATAAAGACATCTCTTACCTCAGGATAAAAGTTGTCTTTCTTAGTCCTTTTATTTCTATCTTACCTTTGCTGGTTTGCCATAAGTAATAATTCTAATTCTTGTACTTCTGTTCTATATTGAAGGAATTCAGATAATATTTTATCATATTTTGTGCTGGATATATATCCTTTAGGGATTAATTTATGGCTTATATACATGTTTGAGCTATGGTTTTGTGGTAGACCGGATTCAGTGTAATGAATAAGGATGAACATGCTTGTTGTTTTTGTTTATATTTTGTGAAATAAAAACTGTCCTGGAAGTGCAAAAAATCACTTTGTTAATTTGTATGCTTTTTTCCCTAAATATTTTTTTTTATTACTTTTAGGATCATTCTGGTAATGCTATTATTGTTGGAGTTTCATTAATGGGTATTTATATCTGGTATTTAAATAATCAGCCTTCTATTTATTTTCCGTAAGTATAATTTAAGTGTTTAATTTGATTTTTCATTGAATAATTAAATGTTTAATTGATTCTCCATTGAAGTCATTATATATTCTAAAATGTATTAAATATCCTGTATTTTTGAATTGTGGTTAATGAATAAAAATTAAACTGAACTAGTTTAGTTTTTTTAAAAGTTTTTTAATTATTATGGCCCCTGTTTTGTAAATGACACCAAAACTATTAATAAATCGGCAAAAACACAGCCAGCAGAGTTTTTCCATAATACTAAATTTGATAGATTATGCTGAGATGCTAGTGAGTTGTTTCTAGCTCAGATTTTGAATACAGAGGCTCTTTTACTCATGGCAAAAATCACCAACCATGTACAAGAGGGATCAACAGTTTATTAAAATTATTGGCAAATGTTCAAAACAGAGGGACTGTAAAAAGTGGGTTAAAGGCATTTTATTAGATATTTATAAAGTTTATTTTGTTGGTCAAACAACAGCTGCTCACAAAAGGTTAAAAGACTCTGGCATTCCGCTAAGTGGCGATGCACAGTTCACCATCATTAACTTGTAGAGTTCATGTGGCAAAAGTCCTTGAAATGAGAAAATAGTGCCATATTAAAAACAGTTGTGGATACATAAACTACAAAGTATATACAAGATGTAAACATGAACTTGGCCATAATCCTGGTGCCAATTTGTAATTTAGTAAATTGGAAAGAGGCATACTTATAAAGAAGTAACAAAAAGTTAACTTTTTCTTCTGTGATTTGGTTGTTCTAGGCAATTTTTGGAACTCATTTTAAAATTTTCATTTGTAAATCATTAAATGCTAGTAAATCTTTGATGTGTATTTTTACTATATGTACATACATTATGGTGAAAAAAAGAATGACGTGCATGAATTTTTCAAAAAAGAAAGGGGGTAATTAAATTTTAATTTAATGGTTTTGTCCATAATGTGAGAAATACACTAATGTACACTTTGCTTTAAATATAGTCTTACATTACTTATACTTATTTAAAACTGATTTGAGGTTATAATTCAAAAGTATGTGTAAAAGTATTTACATGTACAATTGGCAGTATTTTATTTCATTCAATGCAATTAAACCTGCGATATTAGCATGGGAGATGACCAAATACTAAAGTCGCTGAACACTGGTAGTTCAGTCTGAGGTTCGGATCCCACGAACATGCTGGCTGAATGGGTATTTTCGTGGTTTAGCCCATGTGTAATGTGTATACCAGCCAGTTTCCCTTAGAAAGTCCTCCACTAAGGCAGAGACCCCTCGAGACTTTGCCATAATCAAATAAACCAAACCTAAGTCCATATACTTTTTTAAATTATGTTCAGAAATGTGCTACTAAATTATTAATTTTTGTGATTTCATAAAGTTTTATTTTTTTGAGCTGCAGCTTGTAAATTATCACCATGTATTGTTTTATGCCATGACAATATGTTATGTATATATGCATTATCACGATCTCTAATTTTTCAGCTGGGATCAAATAATAAATTTAGTTCATCAGAAAAGATGTTTTGGAATTGAACATCGCAATAGTCCTAAAGTTCTACAAACATATTTGGTAAGAATTCTTCTGCTCTTTTTATTTCAGTTTTATTCTAGATATGATTGCATGTCATAGGAAACCTAAGTATTCTGATTTCCTGCATTTTAGGAAGATTCTCATTTGGCTAAATATGTTTGGAAAACTTGTATTCAGCAGCACTGTTTTTATACAAAAAATGAAGGTCTTGTAAGGTATATATTATTTTGCCCTTTTTTGATTTATTTGATGATGTAATAAGTTTATGCAGTAGTGTAAGATTTGCATGGTCATTATTTATTCTGTGTATATACAGGTGGTGTTTACACTTTAAAATGATTTTCAGGGCTGTTTATTAATGTTTAAAATGTAAAGAATACTTTTTTAAATGTTCAATCTGATAGCCATTTTCTTTTGGTCTATAAGTAAGAATTGTGATTTGCATGATAGAATGGTTTTTCATTAAATTTTCAGGGTCTTGATTTCTATTCTTCTTCCACTACTTTTCAGAGTTCATCAATCATAGTGAGTTTGCACTTTGAACGAGCTCTTTTGAAAAAAGCAAAGTAGTCCTTAGGTGAAATGTCAGGGAACTTCGTAGAAATAGATAAGGTGAAAAGGTGCACATGCAGTCTTTCAAGGAATATAGTGTTACTTTTCAAAACATGACTTGTTGCTTTGTCTTGATGAAGTTTCACTCTTTGAAAATCATTGGAATAAAGAAATTGAATTTCTTCTCTAAATGTCAGATGTAAAACTTTCTTTTGATAGTATATTGAGTTGATTATAGCATTTTTTCCACTCTTCTGTTTCTAATTTTCCACTGTAAGAGAATTGTATAATAATCATAACCCCTTACTGAAACTTACTTTGCATTGACACAGTGAGATTTGTTTATTTTTTCTCTTTGTTTTTGATAATAAATAGACCTGTTTTTGTCGCAGTCATTCATGTAAACCTGTGTTTCATCAAGAGTCACAGTATATTTTCATTTATCTGTAGCTAAATGGTTTTCATACAGGATTCTTCAAATGGTTATGCATTGAGCCAGATGCCTTGGCAAAAAAAACATTGTTTTTTTAACTTTTTTAAGTTGTAAATATTGGTGTATTATTTTATTTATTGTTGCTGTAGATATATATAAAGACTTCACAATTGATTTCTACGTCGATGGATTTTCTCTTGTTGCCAGTGATTTAACTTTAGAAACAGCACATACCTTTTCCACGTATTCTTCTTTCCATGTAGAAGTAATGACTGTAAGTTTTTCCTTTTGCGATTAATAATGTTGCTTATGCTGAACTTCAGAATCTTAATACCATGCACTTCAAAACAGGAATAGGAATATTTCTCTTCGGAAAGCACAAGAACGTATCCTTCTATCCACAGCTTTTTTACATGCAAAATTTTGAAAGAAGAATAAATTTAAAAGTAGGAGACGATATTTCTCATTTCAACCAGGAGTTTTTATTCCAAAAACATTTTCTTTCTTTTAATTCTTTTCAAAATTGTTATAAAAATAAACACCCTCTGTTTATATATATGTGTGTGTTGTGTGAAGTTGTAGGGGGTATAATTCTGCTTCAAGTTCTCATCCAGATATTTTCATGTAACAATATATATCCCAAAAACAGTGTTATATACATATGTGTGTGTATATGATCGAAGCAAATATATTGTTTTGTTTTTCTTCTCTTCTGACACCAGTTGTTACGTTATTTTCTTCCTTCACGTTCGAACGGGGTTCGTGTGCATTTAGAGTGAATGACACCAACACTACTTGATGAAGTATCGAAACACACTTTATTGGCCAGTATTGTCAGGACAGCTCCAAAACACATTTACAGTTGTCAATGAACTACTACAAACACGCTGACACGATCAGCGACACAGCCTCCAGGCTGTCACGGTGAAGACAGTTTCACTGCAAAGCACCAGAGTACAGCTCCCGACTCTGCTCGGTTGTTCTCGAAACTTCACGTACTCTTGAGACTCTCCACGCCACAATTCACAATGCACTCGACGTCACACAGAGCACAGCTCCTGACTCTTCGGTTTAGTTGAATCCGGAGCTCAACATGCTCTCTCGACGATGCACTAACCGCAATACACTAAGAGACTCTTCGATGCACTTGACCAACTCGGCACTAGACTTCGAGACACTTGCTCAATGACTGACTGTCAGCTCGCTAGACGAGGCACCAACTAACTGACTGCAGACCAGCAGGATTTATATAGTTTTCGGCTTGTGTTCGAGAACATTCTGGGTTATACACCAAGAGACTCCGCCGTTGCATTCAACAACAGCGAGTGCCGACTACACAGTCGGCACTCGCTGCCAACTCTATCGACTCCGCAGGATTGACTCGCTAGATGAGACTCGCTAGATGATTGTTGTCAACTCGATACTAACTATCTCGCACCTTACGCGAGGCACACTCTCGTAATTCCAGACGAGGGACTTTGACTTGCCCTCTCGACGATTCACTCTCTCTGACTACGAACCAGAAGGGTTTATATAGCTTTCAGCTTGTGTTCAAGAACATTCTGGGCTAAACCGGTAAGAATTCGTTCCAGAAAGTTCTCCATCCATCCATGGGATATCGCCAAATGGGCAACCCTGCCTTCCCTTGCCATTTTATGGCAACCTTAAAACTGCTTTGCAGGGAAGCCATCGTACTGCACCTGTACATTTCGTATATTACAATATTTGGATAATTGTTAGGTAAAAATGTTTCTTTTAAATTGTTGAAAGCAAAAAAAAAAAAAAAAAAAAATCTTCCATACCCTGTAATTGCTCAAGTTTTTAACTCAAATTTTCAATATTTTTTTATAAATATTTTGAAAATTTTTTTTCTTTATATAATATTCATATGTTAGCATTAATCTTTGTCAGGGAAATCAAACAGTTTATTTGAATACTTCAGAAAATGTAGTTCAACGTGATTTGGTTATTCTAGTTATCATACAGATATGTGTTTTTCTTTTGAAAAAAAATTTGCATAAATGTACCCATTTATTAAAAAAATTTGTGGGACCCCATTATTATTGTGCAAATATGACATACGTGTTATTATATGTTATTATACACATTATTATACATGTGAGTGAAATTGCCAATTTTTCATTTGTACTGTAATATACTATTGCAGTTTTAGGTCAACAACTTTAATTTCTAATTTTAAGACATAGAACAATATGAAAATTTTAATTATACACATTATTATACATGTCCATAATATTATACATGTCCCATACCCATCTTTCCCCATACCCATCTTTACCCCATACCCATCTTTCAGGAAGTAGTTACTTCATTAAAAAAAATCAAAAAGGAAGTATTTTAACTTTATAATTTAGTATTGTGTAATTGATGCATTTGCTATAATTTATATTCATATAATCCAACTGCTAAACCCACTTTTTATATTAGTTGTTAATCGTTTTATGAATTGTATTTTGTCTAAGTATGAGGTTTAACGAATTCTTTCTCAGCTTCATCGTGTTTTTGAAAAATCAGTATAATTGGAGTATTTTTTCCTCTAAATTAATTTTACTATGAAAAAATATTTCTAATAACGTGTTTTGCTTTCTGTAAAGCAGGTTTTCTTAAACTGTGGGTCGTGACCCCCAAAGGGGTCACGGGATCTGCAGCAGGGGGTCGCCAAAAATTTTAGCAGTTTTGATATTTCTTTAACTTATTACAATAATTTTACAATTACTAAATATTTTTACACAGTTTACCTGAAAATAGATAAAGATAAGGCAATAAAGAAAGAAAACAAAAACGTTTCGACGCATTCTTTTTATAATATAAACTTTCATTTTCCGTGCTTTGCACGTGACGCTGTCATTTCGTCTGTTACTTATTTAAAATTTTCATATTGTTCTATGTCTTAAAATTAGAAATTAAAGTTGTTGACCTAAAACTGCAATAGTATATTACAGTACAAATGAAAAATTGGCAATTTCACTCACATGTATAATAATGTGTATAATAACATATAATAACACGTATGTCGTATTTGCACAATAATAATGGGGTCCCACAAATTTTTTTAAATATTATGGAGTCCTGGGGATCACAAAAAAATGTCAGTGATAAAAACGGGTTGCGAGTGAGAAAAGTTTTAAGAAACCCAGCTCTAAAGTAAAATGCAAAGCATGCTTCTTGTGCTTATATTAAGCAATGGAAATATTTCTTGTCTAAATATAACCATTTCATGTTTCAACTGAAATTAAACAATAAAAGTAGTTTTATTTTAGTGAAATTAAGTATAAATGTTTCATACTCTTAAAAAAAATTGCTACTTTTATCCCATTTGGCGGTACAGAAATACAAGTTTATGTCAGCTTTCAGGTATTAAAGTGTGATCTGAAGGATCAAATTGCAAGTTTCTTTTCTTCCTTCTCTTTTGGCTTTGACTTTTAAGAAAAGGTGAGGTAATTAGTCATTAAAATCATGGAATAGACAATATTCCTCTCTGTACCATATTTTTATCTTTTTTATGTCTTTCTTTTCTTTTTCATATTTTAATCCAAGGTGTAATATCATTTTACATATTGGGAAAATATATCTGATTCCTTATCAGGAAAATTTTGTTCAAATTTTGAGATCTCATTATGTTGCAGTTTTTTTAACTGTTATGTTGGAACATTTTATATAATATAAATATGTAAATAATAAATATATTCCAGTAAATTTGCTAAAATTAATTTTAAATATGTGTTTACAGTTCATCTTCAGAGCAGCAGTTTGATACAAGGCAGCCAAATATGTAAGAATGACTATATCATTTTTATATCAGATCTTTTATAAAAATTTGAAAACCATTTGGGTAAATGTTGGCAGTAATGTATGTTGTTTAATTTTCAGTTTAAGTTCTGCTGCTTCTGTAAGCTCCAAGCCTAGTGGAAATAATAAAGTGAGTAATTTATTTATACTGGTGGTTTAAAATAAATTTAAAAAAAAAAAAAAAAAAAAAACTTTTCAAACTTTGCATTTATTTACACAAATTACTATTTACTGTTTGTATATAATTTAAAAAAAAGAATGAAATTAAAGTGAAATTTAAATGGCACATTATTTTGCTTTAGTTTTTGCCAGTGGTTTTAAAAATCATTCATAAATCAGCATAAAATTACTGCTTGAAAATATCAGGAATAGAAGACATTGCTCTGCATCTATCTTTTAATATATTAGTAATATTTTGCCAGGTGTAAAGGTGTACCAATATACACACACTTAGAAGGTTCTTAAAGTCAGTGTTGAATATTGTATGATCCTCCCTGTCCTAAAAAAGGATATTTAGAATCAATAGAATTCTTTCAAGCCAATGCCTGCTTTTAAGTATAGCATTACTGCTTCAGATATTATGTGTTGGAAACTTCACATTCTTTGTACATTTTTTCAAATACCACTTCTAAAACTGTACTATTTGATTCTGGATTATCTGTACTGAGAACATGAGTTAATCTTGGAATGTAACTTTTCTTATGAGTGTGTTTCAAAATGCAGCGAGTTCACAATTTTAAATTTCCTATCTCAAAACTTGCTTGCTTTTCTTCAATTCTTATGATAAATTTCCATCAACTTTTCTTGCTGTGTGAAGCACACTAATGTGTGCGATCTTCCAAAACATTCTAAACAGTTATCTGTACTGAGAACATGAGTTAATCTTGGAATGTAACTTTTCTTATGACAGTGTTTCAAAATGCAGCGAGTTCACAATTTTAAATTTCCTATCTCAAAACTTGCTTGCTTTTCTTCAATTCTTATGATAAATTTCCATCAACTTTTCTTGCTGTGTGAGGCACACTAATGTGTGCGATCTTCCAAAACATTATAAACAGTTCCGTCTACTTTAGACTTATCTTTACTTCAAATATATTAAGTTGGATGGGCCAATCTGCTTGAAAGTTTCTCCTAAACTGTCTTTGCACTTAAATTGCATTTTGAAACTGGCAGGTGCACTTAAGCATAGATTTCCTTTGCGCAAGCCTTAGTCTAACACTATCATTTGTTTCGAATTGGCTAAACCTAAAAAGGATGAAAATTAAGATGTTTTGCAGCTAATAAAATGTATATGCATTTTTAGACAGCCTGTATATGCTCATTAAATAGAGGTTGCAAATAGTAAGATTTAGATATACTTTTAAACAATCATAACTTTGTATAAATTATAAATATTTTTTTAATAATGGTGTTTAAATTTTTCACATTTGCCATTTTAACATATTTGTAAACAAAATGGTGAAGGAAGCGTAATATTTTGAGTAATGAATTTTTAAGACATTTTTAAGCTGCAATTATGACATTTTCTTGATTTATACAACATTTAGTATACTTTGCACTTCTTTATTTATCAGTCATCTTAAGTCACTGCTGTTAAAAGATAAATTTCGATTTTGTAACTACCAACAAATAGTAACATAATGGCTAAAACCATTTAATAATGTTATCTGATGTATGATTTCTGATAGAATTGGCTCATTGTATGTCAGTTTTCATGGTTTTTCTCGTATGTGATATAAAAATAATTCAGTTAGAAGAAATAGTCTTTGCTGCCCAGATAACTTTCCATTGCTTTGTTGTAATTAGCAGAGCCAAACATGTTCTAATCATTTTACTGTAGTGAATGTAAAAATATAAAAATTGTTATCTGGAAAAATAGAGATGTGAACTATGCAGTTTTCAGTAATTATTAAAAATAGGTTTTCATGCAAGAGGAGTTAAACAAATGCAAATTTTTATCAAATCCAAACATGTAATTCTGGTAGATTTTACATAAATGTCTGTTAAATAGGAGGGGAGAAGTGTCTAGAAGAAAAATTATTACAAAATATAAATTTAATTATTTAGATGTTAAAGATGAAGTGTCTTATTGAATTTTCTGCAAGTGGTGTTTTGTTTAGTAGAACACATAATTAAATTTTGAGATTTATTTTATGTACTTCATATAAAATACAGCAAGTTAAAATTGATAGGTTTCATTACTTTTATAGTGAATAGTGTTTATTGTATTGTCATTTATATTTTAATTACGTATGATTCTTTTTGCCCACTTCCAGCAGAATGAACAAACTAACAGTAGGCCACAGGTTCCAATGCAAGAAAGCCAGGAATCATTAGGTATAATTCTTTTATTTTTCTTAATGTTATTCATCTAAGGCATAAATTTGGGAACAGATTTCTGCTGCATCAGTGCAAAACTTTATGGAGCAACTTTCTCTGATTTTATTTAAAATACAAGAAATAAGCAATTTATTGTAATGAAAAATAATAACAAAAACATAAAACATTTACTTTAAACACCAACTGCTAAGAAGTAAGTAAGAAAAAGCTTATTTCAATTAAGGGACCATAATCTCAATAATTTTAATCATGTTGCTATGCAAATACTCTTTTTTGCTGTGATAGGTAGAAATATTGAATGACTTATTCAAATTACAGCTTCATTTTTATGTTTTTGGGGAGTACAAGGTGCATTAGTACACAAAATTTCTGTTTCGTGAAAAAATGATGTGGCATTTTTGCCATTTCTAAGCAAATTCCATGTTTCCATCGTAATCAAGCATATTAGAATTCTGGAAAAATACTCAAGCCTCAGCTGTAAGAAGTTCAATGCAGAGACTGATGGGAAATTGTAATATCAGTGATGATAACTAAAACAGTGTTTGATGATTTATCATGTGTATTTAACAAAATACCTTCCCCATTCCCTTTTTAAATATTTCTAACTATATTTTTAGAATAAAAAGAATTAATTAAATCCTCTATATTTAGCGTTATGTTTTTAAGCAATATAGAAAATTAATATAACAATTTTTCATAAAATTAAATATATAAATGTTGAAGAAATGTGAAAGTAACTGATTACCTATCATAATGGTTTCCATTTTAAGGAAATGTGAAATATTTTATTGAACTTAATGATTGAAAGCTTTATAAAAAAGTAATTTGTTTGCACACTTGTTAATTTATCCGTATTAGTTCAGTTTTCCTTTATATGTGTACATAAGTATCTATATATTTGTATTAAAAAGTCGGGGGAGAGAATGAAAAACATAAATACTATATATATTCTGTAGTTTCATGAAGCATAAAATATTCTAAGAAATTCTTCTAATAAAAAAAAAATGGAACTACTCTGATATGCGCCCTCAAGTCGCCAAATTTCTCTCCAAACGTTTTTGGCAAGAAACTCCACGCTGCCATATTACTATCTAAATTTTTTGTCTACGTTTTTTTGAACACACAATTTAAGCTAAAAATACGAAACAAAAACGAAAAATTTAGATAGCAAAAACGTAAAGTTTCTAACCAAAAATATTTGACAAGAATCCATGTACACAGCGATATGTTTTAACTTAAAAAAACATCTACGAATGGCACAATCTAGGCAACGAACGAATCTACGAACTACTCACACCTGGCTTTAATAAATTAACATAACAACAATAAATTTCAAAGAATACCATGTACACATTCTATTTCAACTTTAAAAAAAATCTACGAATTGCACTAATCAACTAAATAAACTAATATAACTAAAATAAATTTCAAACAATTAAAATGACAGAAATTCGTACTAAAAAAACAATGAACATAACAATTCTACAAAATAAGAACAAGAATAAAATAAAATGCACTTACCATAAATTAATGCTTTTTTGAACAGCAGAAATGCCAACTTCGTTACGCCACGTAATCACTATTGTATTTATGTGACAGCCAGGCACACTACCCAGAAAAATCATATTATGGTTCACAAATAAATAAAATCGCAAATCCCGACTTCTATCATGCACAGCCACTAAAAATAATCTCCCAGACCCTCTTTCCACACCTCCAAATACCCACTGCCCCTCAACAGGATGGCCACAATGATATTTTCCTTTTGCCGAATTTCAATTCAGCAACTTCAACCATTTTATCTTTCCCCCTATCTTCGCGAACCAACGAGCTCCAGCGAAAGATTTTTCAACGTCAACAGGGTTGCCATACAACACGCAATCGCGCAAAAAACCAGCACATATCGCCCCATTTGGTGAAATTAGGGCGTATATCAGAGTTGTACCAAAAAAATTTATATAAGTTTTATTTATGAAAGTTTATTGACAAAAGTTATTTGTGTTTATAATCTTATAATGCCTTATTCATTTGTGAAAAAATTTTAATTTCATTGTAAAAGGTTTCTGTTTGATGACATTGAAGTTGCATGTAAGATATATATACTATTTCTGAGGTATAAAGGCCTTAATTATGCCACATAATAAATAAGTTATTGGTTGCACTCGGAATTCTATGTGGAAAAATGAGGTACAGATAATGGTAGTATTATTGGTATCAAATGCATGCAAAGCAGAGCAATTAGGATTTTTGATGTTACTAATATCTTTGTAGAGTCTTTCCTCATTAGGGCTGTCATGACTTGTCATGTTACATTATGCTATCAGGTTGTTATTCCAGAGGGTTTTTGATACCTTTTGTTAAATTTGGCTTGCCAATATATCAAGTGCCCACATATTGCAGACACTATACATTTACAAACATTCATGCTTTCTCCAGAATTCAAAACCACACCCAAAGCTATAACAACCAGCATGGCTAGCCACTATACAGGTTGTGACAGTAGATCTAATATTTTCTCCAGATAAAGATATGCTGAAAATCTGTGACGGTTTTAAGTGCTGTTAACTTATCAAGTTGTGATTCTGTTGAACAGAATTTTTTATTACCATTTAATGTGAATGGTCAAAACTAACTATTCTTCAAAAGTAAAAAGAAAGTCTATTTTAACTAATATTATATTGTGTAATTTCTTTTATTCTTCTTTCAGATGGTCTAGGTATTTATCATACAGATAGTGGATGTAGTGAAATTATGCCATCATCAAATACTTACAGCCAAATATTGGAAGAAAATCGCAAAGCTGACAGAGCCTCTCCTTCAGTTACATCTTCTCAATCTAATAATGTTTCATCCCATACATCGAGTAGTACATGCCTATCAACTGTCACAAATTCTTTACAGCCTGCTTATTCTCAGCCACTGCCACAGGCTTGCAATGCAGCTTGTAATGACACGTCACAGTTGCGGCGAGTGTCACTATCAGATGTTTCAGTTCACCAGCACAGCCATATAAGCCTCCAAGAAACTAAAAGTCTTTTAGAATCAAAACCAATATGTTCAGTTTTACCTATGTATCGCCAGGCACCAGATTATGATACTGCAGTAAAGCTTAAATATGGAATTCAAAGGTATGTATTTTAAACGATTTTGAAGTGCATAATTTTGTAGTAAAAGAAGTACGGTAGTTAAATAATAAAAATTGGTAATGATTAAATTTGCTTAGATAATAAAGTACGGACTATGAACTAAAAATTTTCAAAAAATTAAATGTAATGTTTTTCATATTAAAGAGTCTGTTACAAACTCTTTCCAGTTTTGAGAGCCATTACAGTATGCCACTAGAGTATTTATAATCCAGCTAGGCAAATATTGCCATTCTAAGATATGTAAGATCTTTAGTTTATTTCAATTTCTAAAATACCTGCCAAATAGCTAATTTTAAATCAATTACCATTTGACGTCGGTGAACCAGATTTTTAAAATTTAACTGTAACTTCCCAGCAAACTGTTTTGTAAAAGCAATAAATCTAATTCTTATTACTTCATGCCATTGTTTTATGACAGTATATCTAATTTACATATTTTTTAAGCATTTACACCATTATTGCAATAACTAAAAATTTTAATGCCTTGTGTTACATATCTAGATACAGGTTAATCATTTGTTTTCATTTTGCATAATTTCTCATATGCATGAATATATGTTGTTATTTAACATATTCTCTGCTCACAAATATGTTTCATTTTTGTAGTTGCAGCACAAGTGACATGTCATCTAGTCATTCAGTTCAGCCTCGCATCATTTCAAGTGGAAGTCAGGTTGATGTCTCTCATCTTTATACAGAACAAAATATCACACCTGTTCAGTCGTACAGTCAGTATAAACACTATGCTGATTTATCTCATTTGGACATAAATGAACTTAGTAAAAATATAAATGTGGCTGATTCTAATGTTTTAATCAGGTATGTAAATGTATGTTTATTAAAAATAGTTTTTGTCTGCATACTTTCATTGATAAATACGTAGCGTATTCGGAAACTAAGTACCATTTCATTCTAGCGCCGTTGCAGCGCTGTGGTAGGCGTCCCGCGCATGCGCACTAGTCTTTCTTGTTCACTGACTTTCAATTGTCGCCATTTTGGTTGCTCTATGTTGTGTTTTCAGTTTGCTGTGCACATTCAAAATGTTTAAGGCAATTAGTTCTCCCGCTGACTGTGAGGTTCGTGCTGTGATTAAATTTTTGAACGCGAGGAATGTTAAACCGGCTGAAATTTATCGTCAAGTGACAGAAGTTTATGGTGAATACGCGATAAGTGATGGAATGGTGAGAAAGTGGGTAAGAATGTGTTTAATGCAGGTCGAACAAATATCCACGCCGAAGCTCGGAGTGGTCGGCCTTCTGTTGTCACCGATGATTTGGTAAGGAAAATTGATGAAGCAATTCATGAGAACAGACGCTTCACAATGACAACTCTTTCAGAGGCATTTCCACAAATTTCACGTACTGTTTTGTTCGAAATTGTGTCTGACCGCTTGAATTATCGCAAACTGTATTCCCAATGGGTTCCAAAAATGCTCACTGATGTTCACAAAACAAAGCGACTTGGTAGTGGCCTGACATTTCTCACGCGGTACAGTGATGAGGGAGAAAACTTTTTAAACCAAATTGTGACAGGTGATGAAACTTGGGTGTGTCATTTCACATCAGAATCGAAACAACAATCGATGGAGTGAAGACGCACTCATTCTCCGAAAAAACAAAAGTTCAAAGTGACAATGTCATCACAAAAAATCATGTGCACTGTCTTCTGGGATAGGAAAGGCGTTTTGCTTACTGAATTACTTCCCAGAGGTGAAACCATTAATGTGGCACAATATTGTGAGACTTTAACAAAACTAAGGCGTGCCATTCAAAACAAGCGAAGAGGAATGCTCAGTAAAGGAATTGTGTTGCTCCATGACAATGCTCGGCCCTATACTGCTGGTGTCACTCAATCGTTAATTCGACAGTTTCATTGGGAGCAGTTCAATCACCCGCCATACAGCCTGGACATGGCGCCGTCCGACTATCACTTGTTCCTGCACATAAAGCGTGAGCTTGATGGGAAGCGCTTTGGATCTGACGATGACACGAAAAATGCTGTGGAGTCATGGTTATCGAAACTGGCGGGAAGTTTCTTTGACGATGGTATACAAAAACTGGTCACCCGCTATGACAAGGGTTTGATCATTGGCGGAAACTATGTTGAAAAATAGTTAAGACATGTATTTTCATGTAAAAATAAAATTGGATTCGAAAAAATTGTTTAACTATTTTTCTTTTTTTTTTTCAAAATGGTACTTAGTTTCCGAATACGCCTCGTATGTTTTGTTATGCAAAAGCATATTTTTGATTAATTAGTATACATACCAGACATACCTCCAGATATTGCATATTTGGTTCCTGCTGTCCTTCTGAGTGAGTAAGACTGTTGACAGTAGTAGTTTGACTGAGTTCTGCATTGGACATTTTCATTGTTTTCTGTATGTATAATGTGAAAGCGAGCCAGTTTCCCTTTGAAAGTAGCCCACAAAGACATCTCTTCTATTAAGCAGATATCCCTGACATGTTTTGCTCAAAACAAATAAACTTTAAAAAAATGATGTGCTTTCCTTAATAAAGTAAATGTTCTGGTAAAGTAAATCGCATATTTTGTTTTCTAATGTATGTAAAGTTGTTTTTACACTATACGTAATAAGGTCGAAAAAAGGCAAGTTTTATTTTGCTTTTTTATCATTTTTGCATTTGCTTGAATAGGACGTTTTCATTTCTTTTTAGAACTTCGCATTTAAAAACCCAGCTTACCATATGATTAGGTTTTTTGCTTTATTTTCAGCCTTAGTGTTCAATCTGTTTTTCCTGGGGTTAATCACATTCAGCTTTAAATCTTAAAATTATTAAAGTTAGATTTAATAATTTTTATAAAATTTTTTTATTTATTACTTAGAAATGCCAAAATGTGAGCATTTGCATTATTTAAAAATTTTTGTATCTGGAAAATATATGTCTGCAGCTAATAGATGTGAAAGTAAAAGCTGGGTAAAGACTTTTATGAACGTGGTATATTACAATTATATGAAATTTATGAAATCATTGTTATTGTAAGGAAAAATTCATCAAATTGGATACTTTTGGTAATGGAGAATTTTAAATACTAGTCTTTTTTTAAAAAAAATAACATGGTGTTAGTCACTGAATACCTTAGAGTGATCCTACAACTGTCTGTTCACCTTATATTAATATATAATAGAACCTTGATCTACCATTCTTACAGATTAGTTTGCCACATGCATCACTTTTTTTTACCCTAAAGGAATATCCATATGAATAACATAATGTATTCTCGTGTTCATTTTCTCCCAGCTATCATTTGACCACATTCATCCATTGTAAGCCCACCAGCGGCCAAGTGGTAAAGTCGCTGAATACTGGTAGTTTAGTGTGAAGTTCAAATCTTGTCAATGGGCTGGCTGCACAGGCGTTATCTTTGTTTTCCCCATGTGTAACGTGTATAAGAGTCAGTTTCCCTTTAAAAAGTCCTTCACAAAGACATCCCTTCCCTTAGGTAGATAGCCCTCAAGACTTTGCAAACCAGACCAAGTCAAATGCCAAGAGCAGCATTTCATACACGGGTAATTATGCAGAAAAAATTTGAAGCAAAGTACATATTTGCCTTACTGTCTGTCTGGAGTTTTAAATATGACAGCACAATAATGCTTCACATGTGGTCTTCAGTTCTTGGCGGTATTAGTATCATTTCCAAATCTTCTTTTATTGATAATTGCAATAAATTTATTCCTGCTAGTTTTCTGAGGTTTTAGTTTTCAGTTTAGATTTACAATGAATATGAAGAAAATTGAAGAGCATCATTTTCAAGGGATATTTTGTTGTAGATTGCAATCAGTTTATCCATGTTAGTTTTTGGTTTATATCTACAGCAATGATGAGGAAAAATGAAAAAAATAAAAAGGGATATAAATGAAATATGGGAATGAAAGATAAAAAGGATCAAAAACTAATTCTGAACTTTACTAAGACTTAATTGTTTTTTTATGTACCAAGTAGAAAAGATGTGGTTAAGACATCTGAAAAAAACTCATGCTCTCATTTAAGGCAAAGTTCAACTGTATGTGCAGGATTTATTGAAAAGATTTTTTTAAACTGTAATATATTCATATTAAAAATTTGAAAAGTTATTCATTTATAATATATTATGTATTTGAACAGTATAGTAATGTATAATACTTTTGCAGTGTAATCATTTTATTGCATTCACTAGTTTCTTCTGTTATCTTGCTGAAGGGGAAAAAAGACAGGTTAAAGTTAATAATGTAATAATAGTGAAAAAGTGTTACATTAATTACCAGAATGTTATGCAAAGTAATTGAATGTTGTTTGGTTTGATGCTGAATTGCTGCAGAACTTTTTATTTGTAAGGGAGAAAAACTTAATAAAATGAGGTTTACCTGCATACTTTTAGGATATGTATTATAAATTGATTCATATTGGCAGGTGTTATGTTTTAACTTTGTAATTTTTTTTAAAAAAAAAATTATTAATCAAGTAAAAGTTTTAAAAGGTATTGCCCATTTTCTCAAAACTCTTCCTAATTTAAAAATGGAACAAGTGAAGTATAAACTTAAAAAAAAAAAAACATTATAAAATATTAATATATGCTATTAGCATCCCCAACAGCACTGCACATCGCTGCAACATTGCAAACGTGTCGCAGTAACATTGTAGGAATGGCTTAATGTCCACTTTTTGCGAAGTCACATTATGACATAGTTATCAAGTCACACTGTGACATGGATGCATAGTCGCGCTGCAACGTTGTTGTGAAATTACACTATGATATTGTTGTGAGGTCACACTGTGACATTCATGTAACTACTCATTTTGTCTTTAATATAAAGCCATAGAGTGACATGAATACAGCATAATAAAGTACCATGAATATAATGTCACTAAAGATGTAAATGGATGTCATGCAACACTGGATTACTTTTTAAATTTTTAGAGTGATGAACTCCTATTTTAGAGAGCAGGTAACTACAACAATGTTTTAATGATACAGTAAGGTAAACTTTTCAGGGTATTAAAATACTTCCATAATATTCAAAATTTTTAAATAATTGAAAATATTGTATATAATCATTTGAAATTTTCTCATCTTACTGAGGTTGTATCTCACCCTATTAAAGTTACATAACTGCAATCCATTTACGTTTATTACATATTTGTATAAACCAAGTGTACAGAAAATGCAGAACGTATTACAATATATATGATGCAAAAGTGATCATATGGTCATTTTCTAACTGTAATACATTGCTAAATACTTTTGAGTATAAGCTGTCCAGAAACTACATAATTTTGTTTTCATTCTTTAGAATTTAATATTTAAAGACAGTTAATTTTTTTTCCCAAAAATTTTTAATTGTATTAAAAATATGAATTCTTATTACAGTCAAAAGTCGTTAATTCGGACACCCATAATTCGGAATGATCTATAATCCGGACCTCAAAACTAAAAACTTTCTGCGTATGCGCCGCGTTGACACATGCGCATAGGCTTTTGCGCGTGCGCGTAAGACCTTTACGGCTGCGAATATACAGTGTGCGCAAGTGCATAATACGTTTACGCGTGCGCGTTTAATGTATAAGGACGGTATAAGCTAAAATTATCTAATTATCTATTTCAGTTAATGTTGCAGATTGCGTTGTTCCTTAATCTTCGAATTGGATCCGGCTTATTATTTTTTGCAGACTGTTAGAGCAATTTTATAAAAGTAAGCTTGAACTTTCGATTATGTCAAATAGAATTTCCGATATATATTTGTACTAATATGTAAAGGATCTACAAAGCGAAAGTATGTTTTGAAATCCGAAATCCTGTTTATCAATTTCACGCTGCTCGGCGGGGGGAACGACACGGCGCGCAATGAATTGGAAGTTGATCTGTCAGCACTATCCTTATCTTCAGGGCAGATGTTTTTATTTTATTTGGCTTATAATTCTTTACTAAATGTAGTATTTCATCTCGATGTACTCGGTCTTTGATATGATTTAAATCAAGTTCCTCGTCATTATAATTCGCTTCCGATAGTGAAGAAAGTGACTCAGAGGTTATTGAAAACGAAAAAATTTCGATTGACAAATTAGTCGGTATTCTCGACACAGCAATTATAGGACTTGAACAGCGGAACTTTGTAACTAAACAAGAAATTATGTCTGTTTAATAGAATTAAAGAGAAAGTATTATCACATGAAACGAAGCAAATTAAACAACTTACATTGAAAGAAATGTTTAATAAAGTAAACAAATAAATATTTAAGCTTTTTCTTTTTGTAAATTTTGATACCCTTTAGATCATAATTGTTCTTTATTTCATAAATTACGGTTTCATATTTTTAATTTTATAATTTCTGCATGCCATCTTACCAGATTTAAACTGATGATCTATAATCCGGAAAAATCGATAATCCGGAATCGCCGAAGTCCCGACGAGTCCGGATTAACGACTTTTGACTGTATATCAAAAAATTTAATTATTTCTTAATTAGCACCACTCCCCCCTCTTCAAATAGAATATTTCAAAAATATTCTTTGGCTTGCAATGTTTATAATACTATATTTCTTAATACTTTTTTCCCCCTCATTTGTTGAATTTCGCAAGTTCCTTTATTTAATCAACACATTTAGAGAGTAAAAACTTATTGTATACTGACTTGAATGCTAGCAGTAATAATTAATATATAATAACTGAAAAAATAAATTTTAAAATTATTATTAAGAATGAAGCGATTATCTTCGAGAAAAATACCAGAGATGTATGAACTTTATAGAAGCGCGAGGAAAATCAATGAAGATTTTTTTGCTATCTACAAATTTCTGCAAACATACAATGAAAGAGGCATTTGGAATTATTTTAATACAATTTTTCAGAGCAAAGATGAGGATTCGTAAAATGTGTTTTGATGTAAATATGAGGTAACATGAGGTATAGTCACTCTTGCTGTCTTTCTCCTTTAATATAAACACAAATCAGTTTTTTATTTAATTTAAATAATATGAAGATACCATATTTTACAATGCATACTTTCAAAAAGTTATTAATATAATCTAAATGAATCTGTACAACACAGAGCCATACCGTTTTGGGGTAAATCAGGCATTTGAAAGTAATGGGGCACATATACTGTATAAATAAGAATTTGGAACATAATAAAAATGTTTAGGAGAAGCAATTATGAGATTAGTTTCAGATATTAAAATCTGATGATAAGGCCCTGATGCTTTACATTCTTTAAAGTACTTCATTTTTCTTTAAACTGGACTTTTCATTTGTTTTCAAGTTTTCATTTGATTTCTTTATTGAAATCAGAAATGATTTCTAACTGTTAAGATGTCAGAAACCATCAATACATGTTGTAGCAATGATGTTATAGGTTTTTTACTAGATGGGAAATAAAGAAACAGTTTCCTTAGTATATTTTTAACTGAAGAGAAATAGATTATTTGATTTCTTTAATATAATAAAATGAAAACACAATGTGAAATGAAATATGAAAACACGTTTATGCCTTTCATTTTAGAAACTATGCAATTAAAACTGAATTTCAGTTATTTACTTAAGTTCAACTTGAAATTGGCTGTATTTATGAAAATAAAAATAATTCCACTACTTAACTTTGTAGGAATAACTTTACAACTTTTGTTAAAATTAAAAAATAACAAAAATAAAGAACATAATTAATCTGAAAGTGTTTTTTTTTTTTTTTTTTTTTTTTTTTTTTTTTTTGTTTGTTTGTTTGTTTGTTTTATTTCCTGCAGTGTCTTTAGTGATAGACAGAAATAAGGTCTTTTCTCAATGTCATATTATTTATGAGCAATTCATAATAAGTAAACCATACAGCAGAAGCCAAACTCAACAAGGTACCTAAATTTTCTTGAGCATAGGCATATTGTGCTCTAGAAAAACTAGGCACCTTGTTGAATCATTGAATTTAAAATTGCATTGAAGCATATTTTGCTAAATTTGGCTTATTTTTCAATTTTTTGTTTGTTTTCAATATATTCATCTTCTAATGTTTATAAAAGTCTTATGTTAGAATAATATTCGTACCTTCTTATGTTTAGGAACCAAGAGCACTTTTCTGCACCTAATTTACACCCACCTGTTCATACGTACAGTTCACCAGATTTAGCATCCCAAGCAGTAGCTGGAGACTTTAGTGCAGAACGAATCTTGAATGCCCATGTGATGTATCAATTCAAACCTCCACCTCCATATCCATACAAGCAGAGGTCAAGTTCAAGTACACCTGACCTTACAAGAAACAATCCAGTATGCTTATCTTTTAAACATATACTTTATTCTAATGATTATTTTTATTAATGTCATCATACATTGATTTTTTTTATTATTTAGTTTCTTAATAAAGTTCTAATATTGGATTTCAATGTGCATTGTTTTGGCTTTGAAAATTATTAAGGTTAACCTTTAACTTAATAATACATGTATTATTAAGGCTAACCTTTCACTTAATAATACATGTATAGTTGTGCTTTGTTTGCAGTATAATAAAAAATACTTGGGTATTATACCATCGACCTTGAAACTGTTGCCAAACAGCATGATTTAGCACCAAATATGGAAAAGCATAATGACTAATAACATCTATTCATTTGATGTAACCCCAATTGATTTTCGATAAGTCTTTTTTTTTAATTTAAAAAGATATAAATTAACTATTACTCCTGTATTTTTCCCCCTTGCATTTTTGAAAAAATAATAATAAAATTTGGAAAGTGCCTTCTGCGAAACAACAAGCAATGCATTGTTTTCAAATTTATAGGATCCTACTATTCAAAATGTATATTAATGGGCATAATATAATCAGCTAAATAGAACCAATGAAACAGTAATAGATTGAAACAGTTACCTGCAGGAAGTTTATCCTCATAAAGTTTCTAAACAGGGCTTCTGGTAAAATCGAAGGGCCTAATAAATAGCAGAAATCAATGAAAATCAGTTTTTATGAAGCAGATTGAATACTGATGACTTACAAAGGAAGCATCAGCTCCTTCAGGAATTCTATATTAAAGATTAGCAGGGTTTCCACCAGCTTTTATGGTCAACTGGATAATACATAAGTGCCTGATAAAATATTTATCTGCACTGCAATTAGTAGATAATACTTATTTTCCCAGTAAACTAGATTTTCAAAGATTTCAATTTTTCTCTCTAAATTGTAAGCAACAGGTATTAGTTTGGTTCCTGAAGGCAGCGTCAAAACTGATTATTGGAGCAAATGCTGCCAGATTGTTTTTACTTAAATAAATCCAAAATAAGTTTTTATGTGAATTTTCTTGTTAGGTAAATTATACAAAAATGTCTGTCTAATAAACTATGCAGAAGTCTAGCTATCCATGAGACAATGTAAATTCATTGTGAAGATTTATATTTGTGATCAGTATTTTCATAAATTTTGTATATACAGTCAAAAGTCGTTAATCCGGACTCGTCGGGACTTCGGCGATTCCGGATTATCGATTTTTCCGGATTATAGATCATCAGTTTAAATCTCGTAAGATGGCATGCAGAAATTCTAAAATTAAAAATATGAAACCGTAATTTATGAAATAAAGAACAATTATTAACTAAAGGGTATCAAAATTTGCAAAAAGAAAAAGCTTAATATTTATTTGTTTACTTTATTAAACATTTCTTTCAATGTAAGTTGTTTAAGTTTTGCTTCGTTTCATGTGATAATACTTTCTCTTTAATTCTATTAAACAGACATAATTTCTTGTTCAGTTACAAAGTTCCGCTGTTCAAGTCCTATAATTGCTGTGTCGAGAACACCGACTAACTTGTCAATCGAAATTTTTTCGTTTTCAATAACCTCTGTCACTTTCTTCGCTATCGGAAGCGAATTATAATGACGAGGAACTTGTTTTAAATCATATCAAAGACGGAGCATATCGAGATGAAATACTACATTTGGTAAAGAAATTATAAGCCAAATAAAATAAAAACATCTGCGCTGAAGATAAGGATAGTGTTGACAGATCAACTTCCAATTCATTACGTCCCGGCGTTCCCCCCGCCGAGCAGCGTGAAATTGATAAACAGATTTCGGATTTCAAAACATACTTTCGCTTTAGATCCTTTACATATTAACAAATATATATCGGAAATTCTATTTGATATAATCGAAAGTTTAAGCTTACTGTTATAAAATTGCTCTTACAGTCTGCAAAAAATAATAAGCCGGATCCAATTCGAAAATTAAGGAAAACACGCAATCATCAACATTAACTGAAATAGATAATTAGATAATTTTATACGCTTATACGTCCATTATACATAAAACGCGCACGCGAAAACGTATTCTGCACTTGCGCACTCATATGCGCAGTCGTAAAAGGTCTTACGCGCACGCGCAAAAGCCTATGCGCATGTGTCAACGCGGCGCATGCGCAGAAAGTTTTTAGTTTTGAGGTCTGGATTATAGATCATTCCGAATTATGGGTGTCCGAATTAACGACTTTTGACTGTACTAATAAATATTGCTAGTAAAATTTCCACTAAGACTTCACATTCATGATTTTTTGCTGACCGAGGAATCTCTTCAGCTCTTTCCTATATATGTAATTTGACATAATCATCACCTGACAATCACACATTCCTGATTAGTCAGAGAACTTTTTTTAGCTTACTCACAGGTCCAGAATATGATGCATATATCATGGGTGTGCCGCTTACAATTCTAGTTGTTTGGAGGAATTCATTTCTCTGTGATGAAAAATTCTATTGCTCAATGCCAAGACTTCATTTTCTTCACATGACCTGGGCTTCATTTTATTTACTTTTTTCCATGCATTTCTTCAACTTTAGATCTTCGTTTAGGGTTCTGTATACATGGTTTCACTAGTGGAACTTTATTAAGGGATTAGGAATAATTTATAAAACTATTCCGTTACTAATACTGCATAAAATTTTATTAGTATGCTGAAACTACCATATTAACAAAGCATCAAAGAGATAGTATATATTTTTTAAATTTTACTTAAAAATTTTTGGTATTTATGAAATTGAATTATATCTATAAAATAATGTTAGATAATGTTTTTGACCAAAGCAATTTTTTTTTTCTAAAAAGCAGATTTTTTAATAATATATATATATGGTGTGTGTGTGTGTGTGTGTATGGAAAATTGAGTATGTCTCTCGCTAAATAATAAGGAATCTTCTTTTCCACACCACAGAACATTTAGTGTAACAGATTAATGTTAAGATAGTAGTTGTTTAGCACCTCCTTGCTCTAGTTACAGAAAAGAAGTTTTGCCTTACTTGACATTTTTACAGTCACATGGCATCTTCTCTCACTCATGGAGTCAAAACAAAATATGCTGGAGAAAATTAAAACAAAATTAATGTCTTAATGCTTACCAGATTCAGAGTTTTTTTTAATTCTCTTCATTTTTAGTCCAAAGGGGCTTTGTCTCTAAAGGACTATTTTTTTTCATTTTGCGATTTTGCTTTGAAAACTTAAAAGCTGTTTCACTTTTCAAATCGTTGCCACCAAATACTATCACTCTGTATTATATTTGAAGAAATTAAATAATGAAGTATCTGCATAAATGTATGTATGTTTCTCGCATTGTGATAAAACAATGGTACCTAGAGCCATCCAAATTTTGAATGATGTAATCCTATTGCAAATATGGGCATCTGAAAGCCCAAATTTGGAATTTGTTTTATAATCGTTTTCATATTTTATAAAACTTTTAACAAATTTTTTATTAAAAAACTCAACGATTTAAAAGCGAGCAATGTCAACACTCTACCAGGGAGGTGGGAACCTTTTTATCTCCAGCACATGGAACTGTGAATCGAAAATTTTAAAGATATGCTCATTTTAAAATTATTTTCTGACATTGCTGTTGAACTGAATGTTATGGTTTAAGTGCAAAGAACATGATATTTAATCAATAAAGGTAACACACAAAACGTTAAAAAATTACCCTTTGGACATAATTTAAAATACATATATTAAAAATATTCTTTCATATTTTAACTTTGGAAACTTCTTATTGTGCATTATTTTTATGTGTTTATTTTTGCTTTGATAAGCTTTTTAATTTATGTTTTAAGATTTTTCTAAACTTTGCAGGTGTTACCTCCCCCATCTAGTCCTGATGTTATACTTCACAAGAATGTGGGTTTTGGATCCAATCCTATGTCTCAAAATCAAAATTTGAATCCCAAATTTCAAATAGTTACCTCTTATCCAGTAAATTTCAACCAGCAAAATTTAGCAGAATCAATTCGAGCTAAGCTTTATGAACCAACATCTGTTGGATGTGCTAAAATAGTCACTTCAAGTGCTGTTCCTCATCAAACTATTGCTTCCTCACACAAAGTTGGTACTCGAAACAGCTTACCTATTCATACATATCAAAATTATAATCCTCAGCCAACCATGATTGATAGTACTGTAAGCCAATTGACTGAATCAACACATCAAGTATCCACCAGTCATGAATCTGCATATATTTCAAGCCGGTCTTCTCCTCCAAGAAGTTCAGTTCTCACCGATGTGCAGGCTAATTTTATGTCTCCTAGAACTTTAGAATTAACAAAAAATGATGATGCACAAGCAATGGGTCCTATGCTTATTGCTGCCATGAATGGACTTAGTCTGTCAAGACCAGATATGCTGATTCCTCATATAGAAGAAACAAGAATTCCAAATGATACTCGTGTAAGTAAATTCGTATTTATTTTCATAGTTCAGTTTCTTTGGAATCTCTATAGGTCAGTGTTAGTGTTTTACATTAAAAGGCAAAATTTCCTTTTGGGATACTAGTATGTGTATAAGGGAGAAATTGCATCAGAATTTTGTCAGTACTGAAGGTTTATGCATTATTCAAACTACTGTTTATATTATGCCTTTCATCTTACATTTATGAATTGTATCTTCAACTATCTATGATACTGTGAAAGACCGAAATTGGAGAATGTCGACATTCACCGGTGAATGTCAGCACATACCAAATACGTCGGTGAAAGACCGAATATTTGATTATATTCTTGTACATTCAGACCATCACTGGTGTATGTCAACAATCACAGATATACTGTGGTGGAGGTCAAAAAGAGAAGTCGAGTTCAACAGAGGGGCGACTGTCAGTTGCCAAATCCTTTGCTCTGCTGCAATTGAAGTTATGTAGCATGTATTTGTTATATTCTGGAACACTGTTTGTCAGTTTTATGCTAGGTTTGATGGTATGTGCAGTGTTTTCTTAAATTTATTTTTTATCCAATACCCTAATTTATGTTGAATGCGAAGAACACTACATACCACGAAGGAATACGCCAAAGTCCTTATGAAGCCATGTTTGGCAAAAAGAGGAGCATCGTCTTTTTTGCATAGCGAACAAATCGCAAATATCGAAACCGAAAAACAACTCGAAAAAATTGCCACTACTTTTGAAACTGAAGAAAAGCATGAATAAACTGGTAATACTTCTGAAAAAAATTTGAACGGTGGCCGAAAACCATATTCCAAAGAAAAATATTGCAGAGGACTTGTAATCTACCATGTCTTCACATCAAGTTCTGACTGAAAAACGCAAGTTAATTTCTATAAAAAGAGTAGCCGCGAAAGAGAACCTTCTACTGCAAGCAACAAAAATGTTATGAACCTCACAAAAACAATTTCCTCCTGCTGAAATTAGTGATACTGTACGAATACAAGTCCCTGTTATTGACCGTGGTTGTACAGATAACCAAAATGTGTTAGCAGTTGTTGTTGGAGTAGAAGACTTCGACTTCTATAAACTTGCAAACGAAAATGGTACCCTTAACCCTCTGACTGCTCAATTTGTGGACCGAAATCGCTTCAAAAATTGTGTAATTTTTTTTTTTTTTTTTTTTTTTTTTTTTTTTTTAATTTTAAATCTCTATATATTGGAGAATTGAAAAATGCATTTTTTCTTTCTAGAAAATATTTTTTATATAGATTTTTATCATGAGAAAACTAAGTTGCCAGAAATAACAATTTTTAAATGTTATCACCAAAAAAATTTTTTTAAAATAAATTTCAGTCGAACTGCAGTTAATTTCTATTTATTGCATAATATAAAAAGTAGAATTATAAAATTTAAGAAAATATAAAGCACTGAGGAAAAAATACAATAAAAATGCAGTTTAGTATGATAGATTTCAAAATGGGGTTCAAGGCAAAGTCCAACTTCACAGTTTTTGCACGAGATTCAATAAATCTAATTAATAATCAATTTACTTATTAATCTAATCAAAAATCTAATTAATAATTCAATAATTTAATTAAATAATCAAGATAATTGCTGAATGTTTTCGAGCAGCCATTTCTGTAAGAAAAAAGCGGCAAAATGTCGTGTTTGAGCGGTAATACCACGTGCCTTCAAACGCCCCAATTTAGTAGACAACTAACGATATTTGTTGTCCAAAACATAAACTAACGTCTAATACTTTGTATATAATTTATTTCAGTGGTCAAATGGGGAAAAAACAGGATGCGCTCATCAATAAAGGAAGAAAAACACATACCCGTGGAAATCGCGGGATGAGCAGATTTTGCTACATTTGAGTTGCCCGTGGAAATCGCGGGATGAGCAGATTTTGCTACATTTGAGTTGCCCGTCGAAATCGCGGGATAAGCAGCCAGAGGGTTAAGCAGCTTTATATGCGTAATCAGTTTGTAATTTGTAAAGAAAAGTTACTTTTCATAGATGAGATTTATTTTCAAGAATGTCGCTGAGAGAAGCAGCTGCAGCTAATTCAAGAAGCGGTGGGGAAGGCTATACACGCTATCATTGCAAAAAGCAGTGTTCCACAAATAAATGCAGTTCTAAAAGCAAGGGCCTTTTGTGCAAGTGTCATAATAGTTTAAGTTGTAATAAATAAGATTTGAATTATATAATGTTGTAAGTTTTCATTACTATTATTTTATTTTCTCATTTAGAACATATTGTATAATTAAGTAAGTTTTTAACTTCTATTATTTTCCTTTCTCATTTTGAATGTACCGTGTGTTTTAAGTTTTTATGTTCTTAAGTTCTTATTTTAAGTCTCAAGTACGTTTTTTCATGACTGAATTATGAAGAAGAAAATATAATATTCTTATATGTTCAACATTAGTTCATGGTGAATGTCGACATTTACCAGTGTAAGTCAGAAATATTTCGGAAAATATTTCGGACATACACCAAGCAACTATGTGAATGTTGACATTCGCCGGTGAAAGTTGACATTCTCTACATTTTGGTGTTTCACAGTGACATCTGTACATTTGTTTTTTAATGTAATCTGGCTGTAATTTTTTTTATTATAATAATAAGCTATTAAATATATTGAATCTTAAAGTAACATCAAAGCTGAGTTAGATATTTATTACTTCGTTTTCATTGTGTTTTATAGTTTTTTTTTAATTTGTTATTTTAGATTCAAGCACTTGAGAGTAGATTAGCTGAAGGTCAAGTGTTTTTAGAATTTGAACGTATCATCAAGAAAAAACCAAATGCGGATTTTAGCACAGCTATTCTCCCAGAAAATATGTCAAGAAACCGTTTTAAAGATGTTTTCCCATATGAAGAGAATAGAGTGCGTCTTACCCCTACAACAGAAAATAAAACTGGTTATATTAATGCTTCTCACCTTAGTGTATGTGATTTTCTTTTTAATAATAACTTTTATGATAATTCTGGTGTTTTAATTTAATTATTTTATTGAATGTCATTTTCCTATTATTGTTTTTTGGTCTTTTGTATTCAAAATAACTTTAATACTTAAATGTAAAAATTTGTATGCAAACATATATATTAATAATTGGTAACATTCAGCCGTTATTTGTCGTTGATATTAATCGAAGATTAGGTGCATTTACAAAGACAAAGCAGTGATTTCTGTGTTCAGGAACAAAATTGTGTCATATAGACAAGTTAATTCTCTTAGGATTAAAAAAAAAAAAAAAAAATCTATTGTTATGAATAATTTTGCTTCTATAAAGGGAAGACTGTTATTTTGTTTTCCAATAAGATTAAAGTCCTATCATATAATGCAATTATAACATATTTTGTCAAGATCTGTGAAAAGAATTAATGATTAATTCAAATATAAGTGAGGCAAAATGGTATTTTAATTCTGCTCTGTGTGATACACTTTAATATTCTACTCTTTGCTATCTCGTTTTACATAAACTGCTATATTTTTCACTTATAGATTGACACAACAGACTAACTGAACATGATGCATAAGAGTGTGTTTTTGCTAAGTCAGTATATTGGAGTACAAATTAAGTTTGAAATTAGTAATAGCAGGAAACTAACATGTAGAAAAATGTATAGCAGTTTAAAGTATAGTAAAATTTAAGGTTTCTACTCTTGCCTTTAGTTAAATTATATGAGAATAACACACAGGTGATTTTTTTCCTCATTGGCTTGTTGAAAAAAGAACATGTAACATTAAATATGTCAGAAATGAATAATTTTCAAAATTTCTATTGCTTCTACAAAAGTCAAGGTATTTTTTATTGAATCGCTTTGATTATCTGTTTCTCCATTGTTATCATCTGAAATATCAATTTATCTGTTAATATCAACTATTCCTACATTTTCATTTGACTACAAGCTCTTCAAAATTAATTCATCTATCTGGAATAACTGTCCATTAATAACAGTTTTCAGTTTCTTCATCAGACAGTTTGTCAGTTTAGTTCAGCGAAGAAAGTAAAGCTTGCTTTATTAAAATTCCTAACAATTCATGACAATTTTCAGTTTCTTCATCAGGCAGTTCTTCAGTTTAATTCTGTGAAGAAAATATAGCTTGCTTTATTGAAATTCTTAGAGAAGACTGAGTGGTACCCTCTGATGGGAAAAGCAGATGAATGTAGTATTCGATTACTTCATTCGATTAGGGCTGCTATCTGCTTGGAAACATTACATAGCATGTTAGAGGTAATCTGCTTTTATGGTGGATTTTCTATAAGAAACTTGATTAATTTTTATATTATATATGAGAAAACATAAAAAAAGACCTCACTTAATAGAATGTAATAGAATACTGCCAGAAATAGAATATCGGATGAACTAGTTATGTCTTCTCAAGTTCAGAAATAGTGTTAAACTGGAGTATCATAACCTTTTTCAGTTGATATTCCAGTCCGACAAAGGGATGCTTACTTTTAGTACCTCCCCCCCTTTTGAATCTTTGAAACATTAAATGCTTCTAAATCATACTTATATTATTTACAGTAAATGTTAAATACACTATAATTTTGTTATAAAGTTCTGTTATTTACAGTATTTCATCAGTATAAATGACTGTAATTTAATTATTCTAATTCTTTTATTTTTATTTGAAGATTTTAATTAATTTTATCATTGCATTGTTTAGCATATAAAAATATAAAAATATTTTATTTTTTATATACAACAAAACGTTTTTAAAGGTAATTGTGTGATATATTGCATTAAAACCTCCTATCAAGCCCATCTTAAGCTGATTTTAAAATATGTTCAAAATTCAGCACATATTCAATTTGGAATAAATCACATGGGGGAGAAGCACAGCAGCAAACTGCAAGTAATGGGGAGGGCAAAATATGCTAAAAACAAAATAAGAAATATAAAATTTGCGTCTTTTGCTGCATCATTATCAGGGAGTTGGTCCAATGAAAGAAGTAAATATATAATAGCATTTTTCTGAAGGTGTCAAAATGTAAATTTCATATTTTTACTTCCTTGTACGAAGTAATTGTTGTAATCACAAAAGGTTCCAGGTACCATATTTCAATGAAAACATCCATTTTGACCGCTATTGAATGAAATTTAACGATGTTTTTACATGGCATCTGTATATAAGAAGAGATTAAAGGACTTTCCCCCCCCCCAACAAATTATAAAGTTGATTTAAAATAGATTCAGAAAAGATTTTTTTTTTTTTTTTTTTTTTTTGTAGTGTCTGTATGTGCATATGTATCTTACATAACTCAAAAACAAGTGGCCTCGGAACATTGAAATTGTATATATAGGACTGCTATAATGTGTAACTGTGCACCTGCCTTTTTGGTTGTAATCATGCGCACCAGAAGTATATGTTGGTAAATTGTACATTTTTTGCTTCAAAAATGATTGAATTATATTCTTATCTTCTTGTTAAGGTTTTTATGCCTTCAGTTAGTCTGCATGCAATAGTTGTAGAATTATCAACAATTTAAAAGCTAAGCCTAATTTCTTTTTACTGTAGCAGCCGTATTTGTGTATATTTGAAACTTAGCAAAATAGTGAATTAAGTGTTTCTGTACCTTCAGTGTCTTTTTGCCAAGTGGGACCAAAAAGAAACTTTTATAGTTTTTTCCACCGAAAAATCTGCCTTCTTGCCTGCCATCCGAATTGCTTGTTTTTGCTTACAAACTAATTTTAATTTTTTCCCTTTGTTTTAACTTGTTTGGTGTTTTGTATTTTTCTATATTTTTACATTTTTAATAAAGATATTTTGAAGTTTTACGTATTGTTGCCTTGCTGTGAAGTGAGAACTGAATTCATTGAATGAGAAATATATCTCTAATGAAATTTAAGGAAATAAAATGAAATGAGCAAAAAATGCATATAATTTAATATTCCTTACGAGGAAGTTGTGTGGTGTATTTTATTTTGCATTACTATCACCATTTTTTGTTGTTATATGCGTGCAATTGGATTATATTTTGAGCTGCTTTTTACTTTGCATTTATTCATTATAAATATTATGTCAGCCTAATTAAAAAAAGAAAAATACTTGAGACTTTAGCTATAAAATATATATGATATTTTGCATTCTCATTTGTATTAGATATTTTTATAAAAAAGTGTTTTAACTATATATATATTTAAATCTAAAAAATAAAAGGCTAGATACATTTAAGTCTGTAAATATAAAAGGTAAAGAGTCCAAGAAAGATAAATGAGTATAGTTGCTACTTCTGGAACATTAGTCTTACAACCATTTTATGTCTATCAATAAAATTTTCAAAGATGGAGTTCAAGTATTTTATGCAAAAGAGTTAGCTGGAATTTACTATAATTTGATAGAGGTTAAATACAAGGCTGAGAAAGATGAACAAATAGATCTTGCTGGTGAAGAAATAAGTTTTGCCAAAAAATAATTAACAAATATTTTAAGAAAATTATTTCCAACACCCGGAATGTTTTTGTTAATGATTTAAAATCTAGCAAGATACTAAAAATGATGAAGTTTGTGAATATTGTACTTATGATTGGGGCGCAGTATCTGTGAATACAATGCTGGCATTGGGCAGCAGAAAAAATAGGGCCGCAGAATAAGAAAATTAATAATGCATTGATATTTTGGTTTAACTGGTATAATTAACAGGAGGGTTAATAATTCTAGTTGGTGATTTCAGATTGATTTTTATTTTACTTTTAATTTTTAAGAGAACTTATGTAAGAACCTATTTAAGAGAACCTTAACAAAAGTTGACTACTTTTTTGACATACATAGTTTACATAGTACATAATTTTTGACTGAAGAAAATTTTAAATTATCTAGAATTCATCTCTCTTATTAAAACATAATTTCTGTTGTTAGTAATGTTATCTTGTAAGAATAAATATCATAATAGATTTTCTTAAAAATTTAATATGCTTTTTTGTATGTTGATTCTTAAGTAAAATATTACCCAAAAAGTGGATAAAATGTGCATGGAAATATTGTAATTTACTTCCTAATTTAATTTACAGTTTTAAAAACAGGAAATAATATCCTTCTAAAAAAGATCAGCATTGCATAATATTATGAATAACATAACTCTAAAATGTTTTGAAATATTGTGTTGTTTCAAATGAAAGAAGGCTTCATTGCATAATGTGATTCTGCTCTTTTGAAGGCTTTCACAAAAAAAATAGAAGTTACCATGAAGTAATCTTACTTATCTGAGATATGCAACTTGAATCATTGAAATAACCTTACATATTTGAGATTGAAATATTGAAAAGATATGCAGATCATTTTATCTAAGAATGGGAAAATAACTTTTATGTAATAACTTGAATATATTTTTTAAGATTTTTTATTATTATTATTTACTTATTTATTTATTTATTTCTAGATTTCTCTTGGTACTACTCAAAGGTTCTATATTGCAGCTCAAGGACCTCTTCCAAATACATTGTACAGTTTTTGGCAAATGATATGGGAACATCATGTTTCTGTTATAGTCATGTTAACTGAGGTCCAGGTTAGTTAGTTATATATATCATGAGTTCACCCTTCATTTTACCTTTCTTTGTATTTCCATCATAACTATAATTTTTTGTGTGAAAGCTCTTTCTGATTTATTGCACTAATCTAAAGTTTCAAACGTCTTCTTTTTTATATCAGCCTATTCTCAAGCACATTGTCACATTTTTACAAGACTTCTAGTTCATTTAGTGCATGAAAAGGAGCATTAAGTTTCTATGATAACATTTTACCAATGACAGGGTGATTAGCATTCATTTCCTACTCCTTAACCGGCCTGTTCTTCCGATCTCGCTCCTTTTGATTTTTGGTTACGGGCCCATTTAAACAGCATGGTTTATTGGGGGAATATTGCAACTTTGGCGGTCGTGAAGGACCATATAACATTACATGTATGAAAGATCACTGGTGATCAGTTACTATGAGCTGTTGAACACACTGTTCATCGCATACACATTTCATACTTTAATGAGGGAGTCTATATTGAACAATATGCTTTGCATCATTAAGCGGTTTGTAACTTTAAACTATGTTTGTACTTGAATTTGTAGCTTGTCGATATTTTGATGTTATGTGCACCCCCTAGTGGAAGTTTTTTAACTTTTTTTCCTCCCTTTCTGAAATCTTCAGAAGAAATTCTTTGAATTGTTTGTCTACAAATTTGTGAATCAATTCACATTTTAGTGAGAGCTACAGAGTACTCTGAAGAGGCCAAGTTTAATTACAAACACTTTGTATATACAGTGGAACTGTGGTTCACAAACAAATTTTTCAAACAAAAAAGTGTCTTGGATAAGTGAACAATGTCTCAAGATACAAGCAAGTAAGCTAACAACAAATTGTACTTCAAAGTGCAGTTAATGCAGGAAAGAAAATGTCTTAAGAAGAAGAAGACCGAAAGGTGGATGTTCCTAGTTGTACGACTCACAAAATGGGGTAAATGTGCAAAGAATCATTGAGCCTTATCACCGTGGTAAAGCAGTAGTATACTATAGCATATATATTTGCAGTGACAATGCTATACCTTGCTTAGAGACATTTTAAAACATAAACAGAAAGATATCACAATGCATTGTTAATGTGACAACTAGCAATAATTAAGCAAAGAAATGAGTGATTTTAAAAGAAGGAGAAAAACAGAAAGACAGCAGCTGCCCGGTATTTTTATAGAATAGGATTTTGCTTTCAAACAATAGCATTTTGCACCTTTGGCGTTTTCATTTTCTGTGTATCTCGTGAACTTTCATCTTTCTTAGGTCCCAAATGTTTCAGCTATGTGGAACTTGACGTCGAAAGGGACAATTCTCAGAACCCGCACAATTCCAGGAAACACACATAGCTAAGTTACCATTCTCACTTACTACAAAGACTTAAACGCCAAACAGTAATTGATTATCGCTCAAATCGGGGTCACATGATCCTTCAGAAGCAGAACTTTCGTTTGATTGGTTGTCTCTGCCCAGGATCTGAGACATTTTTGATGAGTTTTGAAAAAAATCCTGCGTAGCCGCAACATTGCTTCCATAGCTAAGCAGGGCTCTTTTTTCTAGGAATCCTCCCATTTAAACCAGTGCTACCAGAATCTTGTTTCTCAGAAAAGTCCCATCTAGCAGGGACTGTAGCCATGTGTGATAACCTCTTTAGAGCGATGGTAAAATTTAAATTTTCCTACTTTTTATATGTTTAGTAGTATTGAATAACATTTGCTTGTTAGATTTAAATAATTCCATTTGTTTTGCTTTACAAACTTGCATACTGAGTACTCTTTCCTAAGAAATTATTTCGGATCTGGTAGCAGATTAATTCATTTTACATTAATTCCTATGTAAAAAAATTGTTTAGCTTGTGATGCTTGTGATGGCAGTTTATTATTAGTAATGAATTAAGTTCATTAACCAAGGTTTCACTGTATCTATATCACTATTAAATCAAATCCAACTTAATGAAATGTTTTAAATATGAATGATAAAAATATCATGCCATCCTAATAGTAATCGTTCTGTTTTTTAGGAACAAGGCAGAGATAAATGTTTCCCATACTGGCCACAAGAAGATTTAAATAAATTGCAAATAGGAGAAGTATGATTTTTAAAAATATTTAGTAATCATAAGGGCATAATATGTATTACTTTGATATTAAATATTTTGAAAGACATGGAATTTCCTTGATTTTTGTTTAAACTGATTTATTATATTTCCTTTCAGTTTCAGATAGTAAGGAATTTTAGTATGTCTTCTTCAACATATGTAACATGTTCATTGTCTCTTTGTCACATCACATCCCACCAACGAAGGTCTGTGTGGCACATCCAATACACAGATTGGCCAGATCATAGTTGTCCTCAAGATGTTCGAGGTTTCATTGGTACGTTTAGCTGTAAAACTTTTTTTAAGGTTTTTCTCATTAATCAAATTCCTTGTAGTAATCTTAAAATTTTATTCAGCTTTAGTATCAATAAAATCCATAAAATAAATTAATGTGTGTAAGGTTTTATACACTACATTATGCTTGTAATACCTGGGTCTTTCTTTGCTTTTAAGTAAACCATTCAGTTTTTGACAAATTTCTTAACTGATTTTTTTAAATGTGAATTCTATTGTTTGTATATTAAAATATCTGTATTATAAATTAAGCATATATTAATGTAAGAAATTAAATCCAACATTATGAAAATTTGAAATGCAAGTGATAAAAATATTTTGCTTTTTTTTAGTATTAATTATTTTGTTGCTTTGTTTGTAAACAAATAATTTGCATGAAAAATTATTCCTGAAATATTAAAGTTTTGAAACTGCAACATAATGTGTAAATAAAGCATAGTAAAATAAGTAGGTAAAGATATTATTAATTAAAAAAGTAAAGAAAATGAATAACTTTAAAGTAATTTGCTTTAAAGTGAAATATCCAGCAAGTGTTTATTATTGTAAAATAGTGAGTTATATCAATTTTAAAAATCCATTTTTTACTTCCTTGTACGAAGTAAAAAGGAAGTAATTTAATCGCGAAAAGTTTCAGGCAGCATATTTCAAAGAAAATATCCATTCTGACCACTATTGAATGCAATTTAACGATGTTTTTGCATGACATCTGTACCTAAGGACAGCATAAAAGCCACTTATCCTCCAAAAACATTATAAAACTGCTTTAAAATGAATTCTGAAGAGAATTTTTCGTGATGTCTGTACCTACGTACGTATGTATCTCGCATAACTCAAAAACGAGTAGCCTCTGAACATTGAAATTTTGTATATAGCACTGCTATAACAAGTAGATGTGCACCTCGTATTTTGGTTGCAATCGGCCACACCAAACATTAAATATATTTATATATATATCCACTCTGTTACCCGGCTCAGTGATCTCAGTTTCTTTACTCTTATATGTTTGTAAATTGTGCATTTTTTGCTTTAAAAATGATTGAATTATGTTGTTCTCATCTTCTGTTTAAGGTTTTTATGCCTTGCAAGCAATATTTGTAGAATTATCAACAATTTAAAAGCTGTTTAGGTGCGGTTAAGACTAATTTTTAAATAACATGGCAGACATGTTTGTTTACATTTGAAACAGCAGAATAGTATATTTGTTGCCAATCTAGAGAGACTATTAAGCTTTGCAAGAACAAAGATAATGCCTTCATTTATTATTGTGAATTAAATAATGCTTAATCCTTTCGGGAATTTTATTGAGGCAGTAAGTGTTTAAGATTTACTTCGTAATTTTTAATATAGATATTTTGAGTTTTTATATATTTTTGCCTTGTTGGGAAGTGAGAACTGAACGAATTGAATGAGAAATACTGAATCATCTGTGAAAAACAAAGACTGTTTCTTTTTGTTTTGTTTACTTAATTTCTTTTATACATTGTTCTAGATTTATTATAATATTTGAATAGAACATGTGGCGACGATTAGATAATTCTTCAAATGATCTAAATTTTGTGCATTCTGAGTTACAATATGAATGGAATATAACGCTGTTAAGTGAACTTTGTGCCAGAGTGTCGCCATGTAAACAGATATAGTGAATTTTAAAGAATGCATTTATTCTATTGTGGTTTATGCGCTATCGGAAAAGTAATTTTGATTCAATCCAATGAGTTTAAATGAAATGCAAGTAAAAATGTGTATAATTTAATATTCCATACAAGGAAGTCATGTGGTGTATACATCAGATTTTTTATATTTAAAATTATTGGAATAATAAAGATGAAAAAATCAATAAATTTAGGAAAAAAATCAGTAGATTTAGGAAAAGCTTCATGAATAAGATTATTTACAAATCTATTATGTAGTGTAAATATTGAGATTCTGCATTAATAGTTTTATCCTAAACTAAAATGTGTGAAAAGTAATATTATACAAAAAATTAATAAAATTTTGAAAAAAATTCTTCAAACTGCATGCTTACCAGGTTTCTGTGTTTGTAGTTCTAAACTTTTCAATATTTGTGCTTAATACTTTCAAACTCTTATTTTTAATCTTGAATTTTAGGGTGAAACAAACTATGAGCTTCCTCTCTACTATTACAACTAACATTCTTTTTTATATTATTAATATCTATTACAAATTTGAACTCTTTAAAATGCACCTATAAATAATTTTAAATAAATTTTACAATTTTAAATAGTTGAAAACAAATTTATGGTTTGAGGGTATCATTTAGGAAATTGTGTAAAGCAAATCAGTCTTACATATGTCGAAGGGATTTTTTAGTTTTTTAATAGAAAGTTTCACTTTTTCAATCACAGAATATATTTTCTTTATTAGTACCAACATTTATAAGTGATATTTTTTTTATCTATGATTATTTCATTCTGAAGAGTCCTTTTAATATATAATATAGAATTAAAATGCTCACAAAGTGAAAATAAATCTTAGTAAATTGATTAAGAAAATTATTTCAAACCTTTTGTCTATTAAAAATTTCAAATGCAATAATGTATTACAAAATTTGTATTAATTGTGTTTTTCCCTAGCATTTATGGGTGAAGTAGATGCAGTTCGACGACATGCCACCGCCAATCAAGGCTCAGTAGAATCTACATCACCTGTTGTAGTTCATTGTAGTGCTGGAGTTGGACGTTCTGGTGCTGTCATATTGTGTGATATAATGCTGCATTTTTTGGATCATAATCAAGTAAGTATTTTAATACTTTTATGAGAAAGAATTTACTTATAACTGCTAAATCATTAATTATTCATTAGTTTTTATTAGAATTTCTAAAATTTACTGGAAATTATGTTCTTAAAATCAGAACCTAGCTTTTATTTAATAAAATTTCACTTTACTTATCACTCAGTTACTTCCAAAACTGAATTTCATTTGTAGTTTTGAGTTGTTCGACTAACTTTTCTCTTGTCTTTGTGAGAGGGTAGGGTGGCTCACTTCTTCTTGTTCTTTTTTTTTTTTTTTTTTTTTTTGTATTTTGTTAAATCTTCTGTACATCATTTTTTCATTACCTTGTTAAGATTAATAAACTACAGTGAATTTAACTCCCTGAGTGTTGCAGATTTTTGGATCTGTCATGAAAACCTGTATTTAAACAGCCTTTAGTAGCTAAATTTCTATATTTACTTATTTTATTATTTTAATCTCTATTTTCATAAAGTTAAATTTATTAAGATGGCATGTATATTAATTATTAAAGAAAGTAAGAAAGCAAAATATCTTAAATTATAAGCTAATATATATCAAATGGCAAAAAACCTCATGGCTGGATAAAGCCGGTCATGACACTCAGGTTAATTAATGGAATTTAATAATCAGAAATAGCCTGATAATTTTTGACAGAATTCAAATCAGTCAATTTAGTATCAGTTTGATTTTTTGGGGGGGGTGAGAAATAAGTTTTAAATCATTTAAGTTACTTCAGTTTGCATGCATCATATAATTTGCTGTATAAACCAGCGGTTCTCAACCTTTTGATTAACGCATACCATCTAAACAGAAGCGATTTTCAGGGCTATATGGTGGATGTGACAAAAGATCCCATTCAAGTCTATACAAGACCCAGCCAGTGAATAGAGACACATGCGGTCTTGCATTATCTTGATGGAACCTTATTTTATTGCACTGGAACTCGCAGTTCAACATTTTTCCTTGATAGCAATGCCAACATAGACTAGCATCTCGCTCTACACCTTACTTTTGAGAGATTTACCTTTTTCCAGATATTCTTTGTGGATAAAACCACGGCAATCCCACTAGATACAAAGTATGATGCATCAAGTTTATGTGATGCATAGTGAGACTAATGGACATGGCTCTGACGTCTGACTACTTAACAAGCTCTTGAGTAGTTGCATACTGATTTTCTTCCACTAGGTTTAGCAGGCGAGCCTTTTCAACATCAGTAGGCCGACCAGAGCACTCTGCTTCTTGAATGTCATGGTCCTCATTTTTGGACTTTCAATACTAAACCTTCACAATGTCATATGATACTACATTAGTACCTAAAGCTGTGTAAATGATTTGGTGGCATTCTGTAGCTGACTTTTTGCAACAGAACTGGAAGTAAATAATGATTCTAATCTCGTAGCATGATATTTCCATTTCAAACACCTGGTACTTAATGATGACGATGTTTTACAAATTTTACAAAACAGTGTTCTCAAGTCTCTTTATTTCAAACGCCAGAAATCATTTGACTAAATATGATTAAAAAATATGCCAACGGGAACTGTTTGTACAGTCAAAATTTGCGGTGGCAAAAAAACGTTCGTTTAAACCCGATAGAATAGAATACATGAAGTGTTCTACTCGACAGAGAAAATGCATCACAAAAAAAAAAAAAAAAAAAATTCACAGCATTTTGCAAATTACAGGCTGTGTTTAAAGATGCAATTTAAGCAAATTTTTGCAAATTTCCTATCAGTGACATCATTTGAAAGTGTAAAGAAAGGATATTAATTTTTGATCATTTCTAAAGGCCATAAAAATCAGCAGTTTGTAATATTTTTACATTAGTTAAATTCTATGTAGTAAACCACCAACAGTTTTATTTAAGAGATTTAATTATAGGACTAAATACAGCAGATTGTTCTTTGTACCATATTGTAGTGTCACAGTACACAACCGTACTGTCAGATTGGGAGACTGTGGTCTAAAGAATTAAATTTAAATTATAAAAGTGGATCAGAGCACATGAAAATGCATCAGCATACATAAATGTCATATTTGTTATGCAGTCCACATGATGATATGTTGTGAGATGTAACAGTTATATTCAGTACACTGGTATCAACATCAACGACAGTTCTTTATAATCAGGCTTGCAGATGGGACATTCTTTGCAAAGAATGCCACATCATTCTCATGGATTATACCTAAATACCACATCATTCTTATGGAGGCATACAATAATAACATTATGCTAGAGTTTCCTGGTATGACGAAAGCATAATCTTAGCTATGATTAGGTGAATCTCACTTGAAGTATTATTTAAAAAAATAGTATTATTTTTTTCACAGTGTTGCACTTTCTTTGCAGAGCAAATATCTTGTGAATAATTTAAGAAATATTATTAACTAAGTTTTGTCACTTATAAGAAGATCAAGAGATTTTTCCTTTCAGTATTGAAAGAAATCTTTGTTATAAGGTAATAAATAAGAAACCAGCAGAAATTATTTGAAAAAACACTTAGAAGTGGAAATGCTTGAAAAGAAAATAGTTAGAAATAAATTAAAGAGAACTAAAATGTATCTAATTTTTCAAAAACAACTAACTATTTTAGCTCTTAAAATCTCAGATTCGTGATTTTCTGATCAATGTGAAAAGTGAAAAGGGTTTAACTCAGTATAAAATGGTTATTATTATGAAAACAAAAATTTAAAACACTGAAAAATTTTAAAATGCATGCAGAAATGTTTTTTTTAGAATTGGTGAGTATTGCCTGAAAATTCATTATTAACATGCGAGAGGTTCTGAGAATCATGTTCATTGAATACTGGGTATTTCTTTATTTATTATCTTGCATTAAATAAGTAATCAAAAAAAAGGGAAAAAAATAATAACCTGAACATGATTGTTTTAATTGCTCCCAAGTATGCCTGTTTAGAAAAGTGAAAATCGATTTCTTGCATTTTTAATTAATATAGATTCAATAAATTTTCGTGTTTGGGAATATCCAAGCAGTCTTTCGGCCATTTGCGCTTATTTCATTTCTGATTTCCAAGATTTTGTAAATAATGATATATATATATATATCATTGGATTTTAGCACTGTGACCCAAAGGTTTATCTCAATAGAACATATATTTGAAGGCTGCAGTTATTCAAGTTGCTTAAACTTTTTAAAATAGCATCATGGATATTTCTTATTTATATATGTTAAGTGAAATGATGTTAAGATTTTAATAAATGAGCTCGGGAATAGCTGATATTTGGATTAAGATATATTCTGTTGAATTCTTATTAAATACTTAGTTATAACTTATTTATCTAAATTTATCATAAAATGAAGTTAATAGTAGATGTAATTATCAAATAATAGTAAAAGTATTTAATAATTTTTTATGTATAATAATTTTGTTTCTAAGCTTCAAAGGTATAAATATAGTGGTTTTTTTTTTTTTTTTTTTTTTTCACACATGGGGATGATAGAAGGTTTATTTATTATTATTATTATTATTATTCATTTAACTTTTTATATGATTTCTGTAGAGCAAGAGCACATTGTTAAAATGTTTATTATGCTTATGTGGTAAACAGAAAAGCTTTTACCTTTGTGTGCAAATTTTGCATACGTATTAGTAATTACTATTTTCATAAAGCCAGCTACAAAGATAATAAAAAATGCTGCTCTGCAGAATATTGAACTGTAATTACCAAAATGAACAACTGTTATTTCATAATTCTCTGAAAAATTTGCTCAACTGCTTAGTAATAGGCACTAAATGAAGATCTAGGTCAATAAATTCATTCTGTCATATCTTTGGAAATTTTGCATATAAAGAGGTTTGTTTATATTTAATTTATTGAAACATACTCAGCATTCAAATAGCTGAGCATAATTTTTTTTTCAAATCCTTCAATTTAGAATTGTTGAAAGTGTTATCATATTATCTTATATTGTATTTTTAGAAACTTCATTTTTGTAAGTATGTGTGTGGAATCAATATATAAGCAAAAATAAAACCTATAGTCCCCCCCCCTCCCCAAAAAATTTTTTTGGGATACTGTAGAAAGTGTAAGGTGTTTGTTATGTGAAGTATTGAAACATATTTTATTTAGCTTAAATTCTCGTTATCTGTCAAGTTATTTGTTTGTGTGTAAATTGTCAGTTAAAAGATTTTTGCGATATTAAGCTAAACAGTTATGATCTTCTTTAACTTGTAGCATTTGACATTTTTTTTTTTTTTTTTTTTTTTTTTTTTCCTTTTTTCAGCCCATTGATTTACCAAAAGTACTAACACATCTTCGGCTGCAACGCATGTTAACTGTACAGACATTAGCACAGTACAAATTTGTATACATTGTTCTCATACAGTATCTAAAGAATTCTCGTCTTATTTAAAGTGTAATATTATATTTTGGTCTTTTAGCCTTGTACAGACTGCTAACATTTTTGTAAATATTGTAAATCTTGAGCTTATTTGTATGGAAAGTTTCTGTGGTAGCTTGTGCCTTAGCGAACTGAATAAAACACTGCTGTCTTTTTGCAGTATATATTTTAAGTAATTTATTTTAAGAAATTTTAATGTGTTTAAATTATTTTAAATTCATGCTTGTCTTGTGAAATATTTTTGTTGCCAAATGAATTTTGAATGCATTTTTAATGCCTTTACTGTTTTAAATACTCCTTGTTAATGTGATTAATTAAAATAACTTCTCAAATTGCAGCTAATAATAACAAAATGTAGAGTATTTTTTAAACTTATTGTAATATTCTGAAAATAAAATTACTGTATTTTATTAAATAATTACAAAACTGATAAATAAAAATACCTTGATCTTTCAAATTATTTTTACTATGCCATTCAAAGAACTACTTGTAATTATTTATGTAGTTTAAAAAAATATTGAATGTTTATTATTAGTAGATTAAGTGAAAAAACTAATAAATGAAACTGCTGCAAAATACTCAATTATATTATTTTACTTGTACTTCGTTTCACTATGTCATCAAAAACAGTTCTGTTTACTTTTCTTACCCCTTTTTAGTATTATTTCATGTGAGCTGTAATTAAAGTTTTTTAAATTGATGATATATTATGATTTTTAAGGAATAATAGTCATGTCATTTGGGAAAAAAAGTGATTATTGCTGTCATAGTAGCTGAGAATTAATCATTTTTTATATTGTGAAATATTTATATTCTTGTTGATAAATAAGTAATAGTTCCATTCTTAAAAGTAATAAGATATTTGAAATTAAGCAAAACTGCTGTATTGTTGATAAATTTTCAAAGTTTTGAAAATAGTTTTGTAATGCAAATTATGCATTCTCAGCTTTTGAAATGTATTTAATAAAACCTGAATGTCTAGAAAAATAAATTATTTATTCTTTAAATTAATTTTTCTGAGTGTTTTAATTGATAGGAGTATCATATTTTACTTTTGCATTCAATGAGAAGCAACTCTTTGACATCAAAGTTGTTCAAAACGCCCAAACATTCAGACTTCAGCAGATCGCCTGAATCTTTTTTTACCTGGTCGGAGTTGTTAATGATGTGCAAATCATTCTTTTGAAGTGACTAAAAGTAGTTCTGTTATTTGAATGCACCTTCATTTTCCTTTGTTTAGCATCAATGTGTAGCTATTGATGCCCAAAATTGCAATCGTGTCCTAAGGAGAAACTGCAGACAATGGTGAAAGCACATTAAGATCCCAAGAGAGAAGTTGTTGCTTCACTTAAGTAGATTATTGTTAGTGCTGTAGCTACTTGGCGTGGGGGAAAGAAATTTATTCCAACAAAATTACATATATATGGGCATTTCATATGTTGAGTGAAACAGATTTTGGCCTCTACCAATGTGAAAAAGTTAACACTTGTGAAATTAGATGAGGCCAGCATACTGAAAATTTTGCATTCATTAGAATTTAAACTTCTGGTCACATTATGTCAGAACTATGTTAGAGCAACTAATTAAAAATTGTTTTTTATCTTGTATTTAAATAGAAGAAAATTCTAGAATTACCTTCAATTACTGTTTTCTGACATTTCTTCCCAGTATTAGAATTAAAATAAAAATTATTGAGAAATGTCATAAATGTAACTTCAGTGTAAAAAGGAACTGCATGTGCCTAGGCCAACAGTGTACATATGCTAATTATTATGATCTAGAAAATTTAATTTCTATTATTATGCATTAAAATAAATTTTATGTATCTACTGTTTCATGTTTTGGTATTTGCTAAAATTTACCCCCCCCGGCTTAAATGAAATTATCAAAATATCATTCCTAAATTTGCACAGTTTAATTGTAGGCTTAAATCTTTTGTTCATGTTCCTGAAATTAATGCTTAAATTCAAACTGGCACTTCATTGTCACCTTTTGTGGAATACTGAGTGCGTATGTACCATTTTCATTTGAAAAGTTTCTAATTTTTCATCTGTTCATCAGACAACTTTTTCTAGAATTCAAATTGCCTGTTAAATTCCAAATACTTACAGCCAACTCATTTAGTTTTACTAATTACCTTCTAACTATTAATACTAATTCACTAATTAATAATATCTAATATTAGTCTCTTAGAGGATCTGACAAACATACTAAAATATAATTTACACTTTTCATAAACTTTTTGTAAACCATTAGTTTCTCAATTTTTTTTTTCCCGTGAAGAAAAGCTTTAAAGTTAAACAAAAAATTCAAAAGCACAGAAAGATGCAAGTCACCTCATAATTACTCACAACATTAATTTTGATGATAAATTATCAATTTATAACCTTATAATATAAAATAATTATAATCTTATAATGTTAAAAAAAAAAAGAAGAGAAAGCAGTGCATCCCAACTCAGTCATCATTATTTCCAAAGCTGATGAATATGATCAGATCATAGTTTTACAAAAAAAAAAAGAAAAAGAAAAAGAAATGCATACATAGTTGAAATCCCAAAATTGATTACTAAAGGCCCATGTTTCTGTATCCATAAAGATTTTCCAACTTCTGTCTTCTTAGAAAGATAAAACTGTGATTAAGTCACCCTCATATATTTCCATTTAAATTTAAAAAATCACTCAATCCCCAGCTATTGCTAACTGTTGTAGGTTTTAATGCTTTTCCCAAAGGGCACAAAATCAAAATTTCTTTTTTCCTTACATTTTCTAAATTAGGAATGACATCATACCTTTCAGTCAAATATCTGTTTTCTAGATTTTGATTAATTTATAACCATAATTGCATTATAAAATATTCTTTTGAAATCATCAATAAGCTTGAGTATATTTCTCCCTAGCATTAATTTGTGCTTTCTTTTTATGTTAAATCATTTTACAAGCGTTCCAGTTGAGAAAGCATTAAAATGTCTTGAAACCAAACGTTTAGAATTCTGTTTTGCACTTACTAAAACTGAGGAATTAATTTCTGTGACTGAAATTTGACTCTCATTTTCCAAAATAACTACAGTACAAAGTCCATAATCCGGACTCGTCGGGAGATCTGCGATTTTGGATTATAGATTATCAGTTTAAATCTGGTAAGATGGCATGCAGAAATTATACAATTAAAAATATGGAGCCGTAATTTATGAAATAAAGAGCAATTATGATCTAAAGGGTATCAAAATTTACAAAAAAAAAAAAAGCTTAATATTTGTTGGTTTACTTTATTAAACATTTCTTTCAATCTAAGTTGTATAAGTTGCTTCGTTTTTTTTTTTTGTTTAATACTTTTTCTTTAGTTCTCTCTTCTATAAACAGACATAATTTCTTGTTCAGTTACAAAGTTTCACTCTTCAAGTCCTATAATTTCTGTGTCGAGAATACCAACTAACTTCTCAATTGAAATTTTTTCATTTTCAATAACCTCTCTGTCACTTTCTTCATTATTGGAAGTGCGCATGGGTAAACGCATGTGTAGCGGACGCCCGCATTAAAAGCACATGCGTAAATGCTTCACACGCATGCGTAAGTTTTTGGCTTTGAGGTCCGGATTATAGATCATTCCGAATAATGGACATCCAGATTACGGACTTTGTACTGTACTATAACCATATTGAAAGATTAGCTATGGGTTGTACCATCAGTCCAATACTTGCTGACAGTTGTTTGCTATATTTTTTAGGACGGATTATTTGAAAAACTGTCATTTAAATTCATAAAATTTAAATTTGCCCTTTTTTAGCCTAAAGAGCTATTAGTTTCAAAATGGCATTTTGCATCGTTTCACTTTCTTCATTGATTCACTTTTCAAACTGTTGCCACCAAATATTATCGCAGTGTATTATATTTCAAGAAAGTAAATGGTGAAGAATCTGCATGAATGTTTCTCGCATTGTGAAAAAACAAGGGTACCTAGAGCCATGAAATTTTGAATAGTGTAGTCCTCTAACCGAACATTGGCACTTGGGCACCCGAATTTTGAATTTCGAATTTGTTTTATCATCTATTTCAATTTTTGTAAAAGAAACGAAGTTTCGATTGACATCCTTAACATTTCAAAGTGAGCAATGGCAACACTGTACAGAAACTCTAAAGATATGCTGTTTTTAAATATTTTATGGTATTGCTGTTGAATTCAATTTTATGTGGTTTAAGCGCGAAGAACATGGTATTTAATAAATAAAGGTAACACACAAACTGTTAAAAAAACGCCCTTCTGGGCGTAATATAAAATCTAAAAGCTTTCAGTTCTCTCTCTCTCTCTTTTTTTTTTTTTTTTTTTTTTTTTAACTTTAATAGGGTGATAAAGATTTTAACAAAGATTTTATTAGATATGAATTCAGTTGTTTCAACCAATCCAGTTTGCTTTCAAAATTGAATCTGATAATTTGCTTTCCTTCCTTGGAATTCTAAACATTTATCTGTTTATTTACATCCCATGAAAAATTATGACACCATGCTAAATAAATTTATTTCGTACTGCTCATATTATTACTTTTTACTACTGTATATCATGCTATGACAGTTTATTCTTCAGAATTTTCTCTTTCTCAAGAAATCGATTCCTATTGGTAGGGTAGTTTCTCCCATGGTCATTGATAAAATCTTTAAAAGTGTTTTATAGTGCTATCATAAAAGATATTCCGCTATTAGAAATACGAGGTAACCACAGTCAGAAAAAGTCATAAAACAAATAATAATCACCGCTAATCTTCAAAGGAATCGCAATTGGCATTCAGTGCCTTTTGCCAACGAGTCTAGCTGTTCTATGCAAGGAGGTTAGAATACATGGAGATGGCGTCTCTGCTGTCGCAATACGAGGAGAGTGAAGCCGGGGGAAGCAAATAATCCACGCCTCGTGAGGGCAAGAAAACGCCTCCCTTACTATGTGAAGTGAGGTTAAACGTCAGCTTGTTTCAGAGTTTTGAGTGTGTTTAATGATTTTCTTATGTGAAGAACGTGAGAGGACGTTATAGAGGTACTGAATTGGTTCCAGTGAAATAATATCTATATTCGAGATTTCATTTCCATATAAAAGAATGTTTTTTTAACATGCATAAATAAGTAGAATAATTGAAATGTGCGTTTGAAAAGCCGTCAGAAAAGAGTTTGAGCATTTTCTCGGTGTGACGTGCACGAAGAAACATCTATAATTCTCAGATTTTCTTCAATTAATGGTTTGAGTATTATACTCGTAATTAACTGAGTTGTAAAAGCAAAACGGTAAGTAAACAAGGGAAGGGGGAGTGGTCAGCTCATCGGGGAAGAGAAAACGCGTTATTTTAAAGGTGTGATCATATTACATTACAAGTCATATTTTATGTATTTAATTTTATTTTCTGTTCAAGTAAATATTTAATAACAGGATTTAATTTGGGGTGAAATTTGTGGGAGTTTTAAAAATAACAATGCAGGATTTAAATATTATTTTTTATCATGAATTTCTAACATGGAAAATTGAGAATTATACCTGTATATATTTAGAATAACTAAAATATAATCAATTAATGGTATGAGTATTTATTTATTTATTTTCACAATACCTTTATTGCTAGCATTCATTAATGACAGCATGTAATTACATAATGCATTTCTCATTTAACTCATTTTAATGGAATCAGTCCCTTTGTACATATATTTTCCCTCTGCATATCCTGATAATCATTAGAATTGATACAATTATCAGCACTTGCAGCCGTTTCCTTGGATATGTTTTAAACATGCACAGCAAATTTTTATCTAACTTTGAGCAAAGTATAATTAAATAAATGATAGTATATATGTTTAAAGAATATTTACCTGTGAAATGTAATACCGGATCCTGCTATTCTTCTATTTGTACAGCCGAAAGCGACGCAGGAATTTACCATTTTGGCAGGAATAAAAATTGCTTCTCGGAACAATATTGCAGCCGTCTACAAGATGATAGAAAATGTAGAAATAAAATGAAATGGCGGGAAAAAGTGA